GAAGAGAAGGTGAAAACTCGATCAATATTTACACATTCCAATCGTTGTTGAACACATATTCGAAATCTTGCATCATGTAAAAGAGAACTGGTTCATAGAAGAGAATACTTAAGGCAGCGGAATACTATACCTGGGATCCAGTGCGTACGTGCGTAGTGTAAGGCCCCCTATGGCACCATTTAAAGAGCCAACAAAAAAGGGGTTTGTCAGCTGAGAAGGGTCTAGATCCTCCAAAACGGTGTTCCACTGCCTCCTAGATATCCCTCATTAGCATAACTAAACAAATTTAAATAATCATAATTTAATTAATCATAACTTCATAATGAAAATGAATAAGAATTAAATCAGTAATGGCACAAATAAAAAATTAATGAATTCTTGAAACAATACCTAACGAAAACATTAATTTGTTGGTTGTGTAATGAAGGCATAAGAACCTGTTGATCATCAACGCCGTTAATTAAAATTATATATTATTACATCTTTTGGTCATAAATATTAAGAATTGGATAAAAAAAAAAAAGAAATGTAAAATGAACGTTAAGGTTAAAAGTTGTTCATTGTTATTAAACTTTAATTATTTAAAGTTTGCACGTTAGATAAAAAAGAAAAAGGAAAAAAAATTGGTAAGAGAAAAAAAAGAGGTTAATTGTCATAAATCATAAATTTATTATTTCTACCTTATGCCGAATACTTGATAATGCATTAATTAATCTACATATAACTGTATTTTTATGATACAGAATAAAAAATGAAATCCAGTTTTTCATCTACAACTGGTAACTGTGAAAACTACAGGCCGGTTAATTTTTTTTTTTCAAAATGGTATGTGTTATATTCCGTGGTACAGGCACTTTTTTATCAGATTAATAACATCCGCCTAAAACAACGTAAATAGCTTCATCTCATCGTAACATACAACTTTTTTATTTACGATAATTCTCGGTTTTGGAGCTTTTGAATCTGGAGATCGGCAATCTTTTTCTATTTAATAAAATGCTAAAAACTTCATTTGCTTTACACTTGAATTGTAAGATAATTCGATCACAAAATCGAGAATAAAGATGGCCGACAAAAATATTGGGTCGTTTGGCGTGACCTCCAACCCTAAGATGTAACAAATAAGATCCTATAAGCCCAAGGGCCCAATATTTTCGAAGGCCACCTTTTTTTCCGATTTTGTGATCGAATTGTCTTACGATTCAAATGGAAAGTAAATAGGCATTTATGAGTTTTTTAGAACTTTAATATGAATTTAATCATTTAATAATAAATTGATGATATGAATTTAATTCAATTTAATAATAAAACGCCTCATTTCTCATTTCTGATAATTTTAGATGATAAAAAATGTGTAGGATAAGATAAGATGCAATCATTCACGAAGTTTTAGGCGGATGTTAATAAATTGATAAAAAGGATTCCGTAACACTGACTATCATACCGTTAAGATTTTATGTTATTAAAATCTTCGAACTGACCAGTAGGAAGAAAGTAAATAATGCTTAAACCGTGTTTGGAGAATTTTCTAAGTCTGTTTAATAATATTTAATCAATTAAATTTAAACAATTTTAAATTGTTGCTGGAATTACATTTGAATGATGTTAAAAATAATGCCACCGTAACGCAGAAATCCAAGAGAAAACGAGAAAAACACAATAAAGTGAAAGCAGAAACAAAACAACAAAATAAAATATTACAATATTAAAAAATATAATATTGATATAATGTAATATAAATTATATAATATAATATTTTTTAAGAAAGATTATTTATATTAAATTATTTGTATAATCTTGATATAATATTGATATAGATAACAAAATATAATATTGATATTTTTACGAAGGATAGCCCATATTTTATTATATAGGATTAACTACCCGATAATTGTAAAACATACTAAACTAATCTCTACTGAATTTTAACTAGATCATCTTCATGGTTCTCGGAAAGTTTAACAATCATTAAAATTATTAATTTATTGCGCAAAATTTAAAATAACCCATAGTATTTACAATATGCATCTTTAGGGGTATTTTGTATGAGAACCCCACTTGAAAAATTTGACTTATGTTAAAATACTATGTCCACGTATTGTTAAAATACCATTGTATAGAAAATCTGGAAATAAAGAATATATATACAATAAAATCTTCCGATTTTTACGATGCAGTAACCATAAACGTCTATCAATCTAGACGTAAGTATTGTTTGCGGTCACTATAAATTATGCGCAGGTAGAAACATTTATGCCTGTTAGAGTCGACTAAAGACTGTTTTTTTCTCACGAACAGCCATATGTTGCATTATCTAGACCGTGTTGCGGTGAATAACAGTTAAACTTGTATCACAGTGGGAAATAATTAACAATATGTTTTCTTAAATAGTTTAAAACATATTGTATTCGAAAAAAAACATCAAAGTAAAGACAATTTCTTTATGTTTTTTCCTTTTGTTTTTCTGTATATATTTTCAAACTTACCGCAGGATGATATAATAAAAGTAGAAAATAGTAGTTTCCAAGAAGATTCTCACTGAAATATTCACTAAAACAAAAGGTTAATAGAATAAGTAAATATTATCTAATACCAACTCCCCCTCCCCATCAAATGTCAATGACGCAACCTGCGTAACGACGCCCGTCCGTGAGTACGGCTTTAAATCAATACCAAAATATTTTATTTTAAAAACATCCACGCAATAAGCAAGATCTTAGTTAGAAGTACACTAAAATTAAGAGAATTGGATCACTAAATATAGAAACGGTAATAGAACACTGCCTTCTATATTGAATTAGTTCGAGATGATTAATGTACTCAAATGATCGTTAAAAGAAAATCTCCTTCAACTACACCAAAAGAATTATTAATTAAGAAGAATTATTTAACACATTATTAAAATATGGCTACACAAATAACAGGACTGTATAAATACTTTAGGCGTAGTGTTAATTTTATGAATAATACGTCCTATTTTCGATCAATCATAAAACTGCCACAAACATATTTTTGACTAGAAAAATACTTCAAAACCTATTAATTTTTCTTGAATTGTAATCAAATTCAAAGTGTTAACAAAATTTACACGTGTTTAAATATTCGCCGTGTCAAATCTTTCATTCAATTAAAGGACACATTTTGAACAATTGCATGACTAATTTCACGGTTATAAAAAGATAACAGTTTTTTAATTGATTAATGATTTTTTGATTGATTATTTTTTTTTAATGAAACAATCACGTGATATACATCTATAACACAAAATGATTATTTTATTACACCGAGCAAAATTTAGCGTTACTTCCAACATGAATCTATCATATCTATACAATGTTTCATTTAAACAACATTTTTCCATTGAAACGCTCTGGCCAGCAGTTTACCTCAGTTAACGAAAACGTTTTAAATTATAGCTACGACGCATAATGCTGAACTAAGTAGTTTTTCTAATTTTTTACTCAAATAAATTTTCAATTTCGGATTGTGCTGTTCATTTTATTTTTTTCAAATTACAATTAGCTCAATAATAATTTGTATAAACTGGCCATTCCGAATTGTTTCTGTTAAAATAATTTTTTCTGAGTATAATAGCATTCATTTATTTTGAATTAGCCCTTTCCAAAGGTTTCGACATTTTTAAATGATATGATTAAATGACCAATTTCTTCTGAGTACCTGAATAACATACGAAATTTATTCGAAAAAAAGGAGGAACAAGTACTATAAAAAAACAAACAATTGACTTAATGGAAAACGTCTTCAGTTTACGTTTTGTATAGGAACACAGTATCAAGAGGAGTATAAATAAAATTTAGGTACACTAGCGTTAAACGATATTTTAGTTCTTTCCTCTGGTGATAGAATAAAACTGGTTTTCTCCTCAACACAATCTAGATAAGGCAAAATATCGATGGTGTTTGCCTCTAAGATCTTGTCCTTGTTAAGTCTTTTAAAACATATATGACAGAAGGAACCAATAAAGCATATTTCTACTAAAGAAAAGTAAAAGATTTAATTATTTTTTCTTGTTGCATTATGCAAATCCGCTAACATTATTAAAACTATAACGCTACAATTTACACATATTAAAGTAAATGTTTGTACATTAATTACTTACAAGAACTGAGAATTTTAGTAGTTGCACTGCTAGTTAGAAGTAAGGAGTCGAAATAGTGCGTAGAAAAATATCTTCTCGTAAGTCACTGAAATATGCTTATAATCTTAACATTATTATATTTGTAGTGACTGTAAACGTTAATTACGGAAAGCTGATTAACTCATGTGACGTGGGGTGATATAAAGAGCAAAATTCCTAAACACAGGATTTATGTTTATTTCATAGAAAGAAATCATGAATTCAGTGCGTCCATTTATTTAGCGATTGAATCAAAGATGACTCAGTGGTTCCATCGGCTACAGGTTATAACTTCAATGTTGTTATTTCTTAATATATTTAGATTTAGTTTACTTTCTTTCTGCATTTATTACTATTTTGAAATTCAACAATCCAGTAGATAGATATTTACTTCATATTTTTTATTTTTCTTGTGTTTCAAAATCTTCTAGGAACTATGTTTCATAAACTCCCACTGGAATCTATGAGGTCGTTCCTAAACTTAGCATTGTGCATTTTATTTCATACCGAGACATTGATTTTTGAAAATACTTTTTTTTCAATTTAGATAAATATTAAGGTGTAGTAAAAGAACATCTAGGTGATCTAATGTAGAAATAAACGTTGTATTAAGGAAGAAACTTAATATGACTTACAATAGACGATTGATTAAAAAACATTTAAGAATAATATTCGGTCTGCTGAAGACAATTACCGTAAAAAAATAGATTTTAATTATTCATTAAATCAAAGATATTCTGATTCAAATTTAAATAATTATTATAAATAAAACAGTAAGACGACCGAAATAATAGAGAATGAAAGAATGTAAACAAGACAGGATGAGCTGTTGTGTTGATGCGTAATAAGAGGCGTGACCTAGGGAACGCTAGCGCTGCCCAGCGGGCGGAGCGGGAAGCCGCCCCAAGGCCGTCACGTAGGCAGTTCTTTGGCGGTGCCCCCGCTCAGTTGGTTACATAGCTCGCTCCAAGCACCATCTCCGTCGACAGTCCAACTTCGTCTTCCTCCACGGTCCGCGATGTCCGCCAGCCCGGTTGCCAGGTCCATCACCCAAAGCCAGAGCATCCCTGCAAAGAGGATGATCATAAACGACCCATCCCAACTTCCCTGCGACTACTCCACAACTCCTGGAGGAACTCTTTATTCCACGACACCAGGAGGTGAATATAGTTTTATTATAAGAAGATATTTATCGATAAAAAAGACGCAATTTTTAACTCCCACGCAAACCTCAAAATATCTTACATTTCTTTCAAAACTTCTTAAATATTACATTATTTTCATTTAATAAAAAATAATAATAATAAGCAAGCATACAACACATGTTTACTGTTTGATTCAGAATAGAATTTTTCGATTTGAAAGAATAGTGTTGTGTTCTACAACATCCATATTCCATAATAATATAATTATTATCATTAAATTCATATTTTTATAAAAATATTACTGAAAAATACTACAAAAGTTTCTTATTTGATTCAGAATAAAATTTTATTGAATATCTCAATTTAAAAGAACAGTATCCTCTAACAATTTCATACCTATTAATAATATAATTACAAGTCCAAAGACTTAAAATTATATGTATATTTTTTTTTAATGTGTAAGTTTATAAAATTCATTAACAAATACACCCTTTGTATGTACATTTCTCCTCATTAGAAATTAATTTTATTTAAAAATAATTTTATTACACATCCACTCAAAAATAAATAAATAAAAATTTGTGAAGGTATTAATTTTTAATTTAAGAAAGTACTTGAGACTTATTTTTTTTTTTTTTCAATAATGTGTAGGTGTATGGAATTAATTTAGTAATACTAACTTTGTGTTTACATTTCATCCCTTTAATATTATTACCTACCCTGCAATTTTTTTAAATTTTTTATTATTATTTGAAAACATAATTCGTTCATCAACACAAGCATTTTATCCATATGTATTTTAATTAGATTAATTCCAACAATTTTATTAAAAAGCGCAGTAAAAAAAAAAAAAAAATAGGTAGCAAATATTAATTTATGTAATAAATTTACTTATAAAAACGTTTTATAATAATTTAAAGTTATTAAATAAACATATTTTATTTAATCTACATCAATTTAATTGTTTATGGGTTAAATACTATGCATTTCTAAATCCCTTTAGATTTCAATAATATACAAGTTCAAAGGTTTGTTGAATTTTTTCATAGGGATTCAATTTAAGTAATTAAGAATTAAATTATTTTTACTTCTATTCTTTGTATCGTATAATTATACTTAATATTAATAAATATAGTTAAACGTAATATTAATTGATCAAATTGAAGTTTGCATTGTAAATGACCCACATTTTTTTCTATTAATAGGTATGGTTTTTTGTTTTGTTCTTTAATTAATATTTTAAAAATGTGATTAGTATTTTAATAAATTACTCATATTCATAACTTTTGCTCTAAAATATTAAATTAAATGTTAATTTTCAAAAGGTGAGTATATTCAAAGATCACCCGTGAATGCTTCATAAATTATTAAATAATAACGAATAAATAACTACAGTTAATGGCCTTATTTAAAGTATTGTAGATTTATTTGACAAAAAATAATATATTTACTCGCTAAGTTGCGATATCTATCATTGATTGACACCTGTAATTACATGTTTACTACTGGAAGGTTATGGCGGCTTCAGTTCATCTGCCTCCATAACGATTTCCTAGTTATGCGGAAGTAGGTTATAAATATAGTAAGCACGCAAAGAATTAATTAATTTAAAAACCTTTCTTAATTTAACGATTCACTTTATTGTAAACATGCGCTTAACATGAATGATTTGAAATATGGGAGTGCAACACGTTTGGGGTCAATAACATTGCTGATTTACTACAAGAGTATATTCTTGAATATACACATATTTTCTTAACTTATTGAGAATATCTCGCACATACAATTTAGAAAAGAATGTGTTTATTAATAATTATAAATATAACATAATACATAATTTTGGGTGATAAATATTCAGGACGCAGTCTTTTTTAAATTTTTTTTTTATTTTTGCCAACGTAAATACATAATTATTTACGCTCGTAGTTTATGCAATTCTTTTTTAAAATTTACGTGTACGGTTTTCTACTTGATGTAGGTAATTTTCCATAAAAGTTTTATTTCTAATTTAGATCTCTTATTTCGAAATAAAAACATTTAAAATATATTTATCTGCATATAAAATTTACCGAACGCTCACAAAGATATTTTAATAATTATTTATAAGTCTTCCATGTTAAAGACATATTCGCTAATTCGAGATTATATTTCGAAAATGGATTAATGACAGAAAATACTTTTTTGACAATCATTGATCATTTTAATTATTTTTTAATATTTAGCATTTTTATACCTGTTGTAAAGTATGGTGAAGATTCCTGAGAATATAAACTTCTTTATGATTCACTATCTAATGACTTCTTAGAATCTTGAAAATCTTCAGATTTTTAAGAAACAAAATCAATTTATTCATGTATAATTTTTCAAGACTTCACGCAAGATCGACCATTTTCAAGGAAACACTTTTCTACAACATAATATATTTTGCACAATATATATGTTTGTTTTAACAAAATTACACGAAATAATTTGCTTATCCTAATTTTCAAACTTTGTTTTTATAATCAATATTTATAACTTGATGTTTGTGCTAAAACTATTTTTCCTAACATAAACACTCAAGTAACTTTTTAATAATATTCCATTATTATAAATTTTAAACTCAATTTTATTGTCACATTTTACAATAAAATTGTAACTTAACAACAAGTAAATGTTATATATTTAACTTCCCATCTATAACAAGTATGATGGGTGATAAATATTCAGGACGCAGTATTTTAAAAAAAAAAAAATTTATTTTTGCCAAAAATAGGACGCAAAAATTTTTAAAGGACGCAGTATTTTAAAAATTTTTTTTTTTATTTTTGGCAAAAATAAATAAAAAAATTAATAAATAAATGGCGTCCTTAATATTTATAACCCATGATATGTAGAACAGTCGACTAACTTCCTTCAAGTATAACAAGTATGTTATAGATTATGATAGAAATATAATTTCTCCAATTTATTTTCTACTTTTAGTGATCAACAATGTTTGAATTTCAGGTACCCGAATAGTATATGAGAGATCAACTCTAATGTTTCTAAGAAACTCACCATTGTCCAAGACACCCCCAAACATTCCTGACTTGCCTGATTCAATGATGAAAGGTGACATGAAACATTGTCAAAGAAATGGCCTGCGGACAAGCCCTCTGAAGAAAAGTAAGTACCATAGCCATCATTATATAATTCATTATTATTATTTAATGAGGTTTATTTTATATATTTATATCATTATGAGTTGTTCATATTTAATTGAACATTAAAAAAAAGATCTCTATATCTAAAAAAAAAAGATTACTAAAATTACCAAACTACGAACACTCAATGAGGATTAGTAGAAATGTTCATATCAAGTGAAAATTAAGTAATTAACAAGTACATTAAGAAAATATATTGTAATTAATAATCTATTAATTAATTTGTCTAAAAAGTTAATTTTATTCTTATATGACTTTGAAATTATTTGTTTTTCAGCTCAATTTTCGGACGACAGGGGAGAACAATTTGAAATCGATATATAGCTTCTGTGAAGCTGCTTTGTATTTACCAAACCATTTTGGTTTCACTAATTTTTTTTTTGTTTCATTTTTTTTTATTTGGTGACATTCACCAATGGATACTGACGTTTAAATACATATTGTCTGCGAGTATAAATGTATACACTCATAAATATGTATGAATAAATGTATCCTGATTTCTGATCTGTTAAAACAGATTTGACTGTGTTATCTACTGTGTTGTAAAGTGTCAATATGATTTAAAGACTTATAGCTTTGTTATGTTAATTTAAAAACAAAAATTAAAAAAAAAAATGTATAAAAAAGCTAGAAAGACATGTTTATATTTACTATGAATAACATTTTATTTTAAATGTTGTTAGGTGTCCAAGATCTGTTTGAAAGCCTGTAAATTATAATTTTTAAAAGTGACTGAAAATAAAAATATGTATATGATATCATATTTGTATTCATAAATCACGACCAGCTAAGTTATTTTTACTTATAATTCTATAAAACTTTTTCTTTTATATATTTTCTTGAAATATGTAATCAGTCCAATAAAAGCCAATTATAATTATATTTTCATTTTGTTCTACATCTTTTTGCAAATTTTGTTTATTTGTGTGTAGCCTAGTCATTATAATACATATTTGCACTTAATTTCTTCTGTGCCATGTTTTAGCATTATATAAATATTGCTATACTTAAAATTTTATGAATATTTTTTCTTTATTTTTGATCCTGCACTTGTTCATATTAAGATAAAAAGAGGAATTAATGGATAGTTTAAACAAAGTAGCTCTGAATATAATATTTTTTTCAGATTATCTGTAATAATTTTTCTTTCATGGATTAAATATAAAACATTTTTTTCATATGTAAATATGTTATTTCTGATTACCCTCTACATACTGTATAATAATTTTTGTTTTAAATTTCCCACCCGAATCTTGAAGGTTCACTATCTTGTTAATTAATAAACCACTAACACTAAAGGTTATTATATAGAAGTGTTTGAATAAGAACTTAATTCAAACTATGCATATTTTAAATTGTTTAATGTACCAATCGATCAATTAGAGAACTTTTGGGTTCAAGATTGAAGCAATGGAACTTCTTACAACCTGGTGTAAAGATTAGAATGTACAGAAAGACTTGATCCTCTTGTTGTGATGTCCCACGTCTGATGACAGCATTACCTGAATCACAACCTTTTTGAATGGAGGCTTCTAAAATCCATAAAATACTACCAATGGCAATTCTGTGGGGATATGAAAGTGGAGGCAATTCCTCTGGGCATGCAACAGGCATATATTACGTACTGTTGTTTCTTATGAGGGTGGGACAGTCGGGACAGAGTATCTCATTACATCATGAAAGAATGGCCTCAAAGAGTAGTCCTGATCCCTGGACAAAAAAATGTTCTGTAAAACATTCTTGTGGGCTCTCAAAAAATTATTTTGCCTCCATTACATATAAAGTTAGGGTTCATGAAAATGTTTATCATAGGAATGGAGCAATCAGGAGAGGCATTCAAGTACTTGAGAAGAAAATGTCTTCGCTTAAGTGAAGCTAATGTTAAAAGAGGATGTATTTGTTGGTCCATAAATCAGTGAGCTTCTTAATGATGGAGATTTTTTTAATATTCTTCAGGGTAAAGAAAGAGCAGTGTGGGAATCATTTACAGCTTTAGTTAATGGTTTCTTGGGTAACAAAAGAGAGCAGAATTATGCTGTCTTAGTCCAAACCCTACTTAAGAAGTATAGAGATCTCGGTTGTAACATATCATTCAAGATTTACTTACTTCACTATCATTTGGACTTCTGTCGCGAAAACTGTGGATCTGTTAGTGATGAACACCGGCGGAACAAAGATATAGAGGTCGGTGGAATACTTCAATGCTCGCAGACTACTGTTGGAACGTTGTGAGAGATTTACCAGAACATCAGTACAATCATCAAGCAAAGAAGAAATGTTCTAAATAAACTATACAACACCCCTGTTCTTCACGAGAGAAGTTGTAATTTAATGTTTTGTGAGTTATAAAAGTATTTCACAAATAATAAATCACTTTTAAAACCTAAAAAATGATCGTGTGACTTGCAATAACTTAATTTTTTTGTATTCGATACTAGGTATGTGCAGAACGGTAGCTAATATAAGGATTCTGACAGGAAATTCGAGTTTCTCACACCAACATTAGTAAAGAAAAACAGATTTCATTGAAGATAAATGCAAAATTTTTTTTTGTGTTATTAATAAGGGAAGTATGATAATAATTTAGTTTAGTCCAACTTAATTAAAATCTTTAGCATCTAAAAACAATTTACTAATTGAGCCACTGTGCGATTAAGACATAATTTAATTAATTAATTATTTTAAGATGTCAATCCAGACTAAATGAAATTCATTTTCATTTTGTTAAGTCAACATTTCGTTAAGCTCTGTGAAAATTTACTGCACGATTTTGCATATTCTTAGTTTTTGTTGCATTTTTTTGAATTTTTACTGTACAAAGATCAGCCTATACTCATGATAAAATGGTTATTGTTAGCTACTAATTTTAAAGGAAGAAAATATTTCCATTATGTAAATACTTCATATATTTAATTTAGTAGCAGAAAAACACTTAATAATCTTGAAGAAAGTTAAAGAGCAGTTTTAAGTGTTTACTGAGAGGAATAATAACTACTTCATTATTGCATATTTTTATTTATTTATTCTGATTGAACTTTTGATTGATAAGGCTGAGGTACTGTTCCTCAAAACCTGTTGTGGTAAGGAATAAAAGTAAATATTTTGAATTATTTATATCAGCAGAGAAGATAATCGAAGACTTGACAAATACAAGTAGAGAGGTATAAATGTTTTCTATATAGTATCATATCTAACCTAAATAATTTAAAGTTCTTTCAATAAAACTTTTTTATTGATATGAAAAATAACATTTTTAAAAAATAATTATACATCATAAAGAAAAATTTCAGAATTAAATGATAAATTAAAAATAATAGATTAGAATCTATTCATTATAATTAAATTTTAAAACAATTAAAATTATAAATAATTCTAGACTAGACTTTTGAAACAATTAATAAATTTTAAGAAGTAAATTAAATGAAAATTACTTAACATAAAATTTAAGTAAGTTTTGTGAAGATAATTAAAAAAAAAAGACTAGATTTCACAAAATTAAAAGTGAATTACACAACAATAATTTTTAAAAATGTAAAAAACAAAACAAAAATTACTCAACTAAAATAAAAATCAGTTTCATGAACATAATCTGAGAAATTAAAAAAGATAAATAATACTAAACTTTGCCATATAACATTAGAAATAAATTTAATAGATATTCATTTTGAATTAAGATTTAAACTTTGAAAATTGTATTTATTGTTTATAGAAAAAGATAAAAGTAATTTGGCACTTCTACGATTACAGGGTCATACAATAAAATATATCCCACAAAAAGATTGAAAGGTGTGGTAAAAGAAAATTTAAAAATAATTATCAAAATATCAAACGTATATTCCATTATAGCTTATATTCCAGGTTGTAAAAAAATACTATAATCAAAACAATTATTATAAGAAAACACTTAGAGATGTTTGTCAATTAGTCATTTTAAAACTACAGCCGATATAATTTTACTTTAAATTTGAGGGGGTTTATATGTTCTGTTCTATAAATATAACTTAAAAGCAGTGCCTTAAGATGGAGCAACCAGGGCAATTGTCTCAGGGCACCAATCATCAGAGGTGCTTGACAATTGTTAAAAGTTAAAAAAAAAAAATTATTTTAGCTTACTAATAAAGTAACAGTATTCAATAAATATTGAATGAAATAAAATTCAAATACTGCAAATAGAAAACAACTTAAGAAATACATTTAACATATTCAATTTAAATAATTTTCCCATTTCTTAGAGGTTGGAATATAGTTATAAATTATATTCAGTCTAATTATATCAGATTTTTGAACATTTACTTCAAGACTAATACAAAAAGAGATCATCATCTTTTAGCAAAAGGTGTTATTAACACCACTTACACTGAAGTGCAATGGCTTAATTTTTATCGCTAAATGCCTGTTTAAAGCCACAATTGAATTTCTCACAGCCAATGTCAAAAGCCATTTCTGGAATCAAAATCAGTAATTTCAGCAAAAATCAACTCCTTCCACTGCTCTAAACTGTATTCCAATGATTCGATCGATCGGTCATACCTTGGCGATTTCTGAAATTAGAAAAGATATTTACCTAGTAATAAGTCGTAAACATCACCGCTACAATAAATCAGAAGTGATATCAATCAGCTGTATCAAACTTAACACAAGCTAAAAAATAACAATTATGGACACTGATATTAACACAACACTCTGCTCGCTCGAAGTGCTTACAGAGCCTACCCATTATTGGGTGCAACAGGAACACTTTATACTTTTCTAGAATTAGGGCCAATTTCATAAAATAACGCTTATCATATTACAATTACTGTTTCCTAGCAAATTAAAATCTGAACTTTAATACAAAAAATTCAGTACAATAAAATTCTTTGTAAAATACAATAGACAATAGACACAGATCAACCAATGTAATGACTATACTAATAGACTGATTTTTATGCTCTCGAAATGTCAACATTCATGTATTTCATTAATAATAATAGAAGAGTTCAGTCAAAAATAAACAAATCAAAAATAAATAAATGATATTTATTATTATATTTGTCGACATTTCGGTTCAAAGTGTAGGCCTTCCTCAGTGCTAAGAAAAGACCAGATAACAATATGAGATACTATTAACTTATGAAAAATAAAATAAAATAATATTAATAATAATAATGTAAGGAACATATAGAAACAAATTAATAACAATAAAAGAGAGGAACTTATGAAATAACTAATAACAATATTAAAGAGGAACTAATAACTGTAACAGAGAGGAAATTATGAAATAAATAATGACGGCAACAAAGTTGGGGACTAATGAAATAAACTTAATAAAATAAGGTAACGAAAATCAAAATAAAAACTAACTAAAATGAGATAAAATGTAAGTATTAGATTTAGAATGAATCGAGTGATGATATATATTTAAGCCATTACTTCAATGCATTCATTCTACATCTAATACTTACATTTTACCTCATTTTAGTTAGTTTTTATTTTCATTTTTGTTACCTAATTTTATTATGTTTATTTCATTAGTCCCCATCTTAGTTTATTTTATTTTATTGTTTCTTACATTATTATTATTATATTTTTATTTATTTTTTCATAAGTTAATAGTTCCTCATATTTTCATCGGGTCTTTTCTTAGTCCTGAGGAAGGCCTAAAATTTGAGCCGAAATGTCAGCAAATACAAAAATAAATATCATTTATTTATTTTTGACTGAACACCCCAACCAACTTCTTTTCAATTATTTCATTAATCATTTATTATGAGAATACACACCTCCCCTTCCCACCACTCCCCCTCCCCACCGGGTATGATCCTACTGGAGGCAACTCACACCGACCGGGCGTAGGATTGATGACCCTACCCCGTACTTTAAATCGGGAACACTCGCGATCAAAGATCTTCATGGTCAGTAGCGCCAACCGAAAAAAAAAGAAAAAAAAAAGAAAATCAGTAATTAACAGCTTAATTAAAATTTTAAACACAATATTTACCACCATTACTTCTTCATCTTCATACCAAATATACACATAAGGATGATGCAAAGCCTGATCAACTGTCATCCTTTGCCTGGGGTCTATTATGAGCATTCTAGATAGGAGATCTCTTAGTTGCGCCATGGCTAAAAAAAATAAAAATAAATAGAAAAAGGTTTGTACAAAATAAAAAAAAATCTTAGATATCAATCAATTAATACCATTTGAATTTCAGGAGGATTTAAGTCCAACTCACTTCCTTGCAGTGTCCACTAGGAAACGCTGTTATCTTCGGGTAATCTAAGTAGGCTAATGGGGAAATAGCATTCCCCAGCAACCTGAGGGTTTTGGCTGTCTAAGGCCAGTAATGGCTTAGTTGTGAAAAGCTGTGGGGACAGGCCCGGAGGCCTTGAGATGGTAACCCCACCACCGGGCTAGGGTGCTATCGGCTAATCGCCGATTAAGGAATCCAAAACAAAGAAAAGACGAACTGATCTTTTGGACACAACCCTTGACATGAAAAAACGAACCAAAATCGGATGCTGGAATGTTAAGACGATGTACGAAACTGGAAAACTGGAAGCTGTTAGAAGAGAAATGGCCAGATACAGACTAGAATTACTGGAAATAAGCGAAACCAGGTGGACTGGCTTTGTAGAAAAGAGATTAAGGCATGGATATACACTAATTTATTCTGGAAAGGAAGAAGATGGAACACATAAAAGAGGAGTTGGACTAATGATGACAAAACAGGCTAAGAAAGGGCTTACTAACTGGTACTCTATTTCTGAAAGGGTCTTTGTCATGATATTTAAGTCAAGAGTGAGGTGCTTCTCGCTAATAGCGTGTTATGTGCCCACGGAAACATAGGAGGATGAAGAGGACAGATTTTATCTGTAACTTAATCGAGTGATGGCGTCCCATGGTAAGAAAGGGGACATAAAAATTCTGATGATAGATTTAAATGCCAAGATAGGAAGTGATAATGCAGACAGACAATCAATTATCTACGGTATTGGAATTATGAATGACAATTGTTTGCAGATTTCTGTTGTAATCATAACCTTATCACAGGAGGCACACTTTTTCCACACAGAAACTGCCATAAGGTAACCTGGGTATCGCTGGATATGAACACAGAAAATCAAATTAACCATCTGTGCATCAACCAAACCTGGAGGAAGTCGTTGCTGGATATCTGTAACAGGCGAGGAACCGATGTATCAAGTGACCACCATTTGATTACAGCAGTAATCAGGCAAGCTTAAAGATGACAGAATTAAATCACAGTACACTCTGGACCTGTCTAACAAATTTAACACTCTGACTCCTTACAATAATGAAGACCATGAGATGAGGTCCAAGAAAGAAGAAAAGAAGCCATCGAAAACAGGTGGAACGATATGAAAGATGTCATGCATGACACCGCAAAGGAAGTTCATGGTGTGAAAGAAGAAAATAAACCTGATTGGCTCTCAAGTGTAACCTGAGATGCTATGTTGGATCGGAGGTGGAAAAAAGAAGCCTTGAACAAGAGCAGAACTAGAGAGCATAAAGAAGGAAGGCGAGCTTACAAAAGGTAAATAAGCAGGTTAAAAGACTTTTTTGAAGGGACAAGGGTCAATACTAGATATGCAAATTTGAACGATGTCCAAAATGCCATTTCTATATATTTTGCTAAAAAATCAATAGATTTTTATCGATTCTGCATTGAAAATTTGCATACTAGATGCCGAAAGATTGTTAATAATGAGGGTAACTCCATCAATGATTAAAAATAAAAACTAGTGTGAAATTTTTGTTTTTGAATTCAATATAAGAAAACGATATTACTTTCCAGTGTTCTTAATATTTAAACTAGACTATACTTTTTACCTACATATTTTTACTATTATTGTCAACCATTTCTTCAATATTTACATTTTCTATTTACCTAGCCCTAATAAATGCTGATACTTAGGACGAAACGTCGTCACAAACAAAACAAAAATAAATATAATTTTTCTATTTTTTCCTATTAACATTTACCAAAATGGAGTTAAGGGTTTTCAGTCTTTAAATGTATTAAAAGTATTATTTAATAAATAAATATTGAAGTAACAACAGATACGTCATTTATAAGATATCATATAAAATACAGACCTTCTGGATTTTGATCGCTTTCCAAAACTTTAAAAATATTTTCAAAAGGCGTAGGAGAATAATACTGCAGATGCTGAACATATCTTTGTATGTCAGGTGTGAGGCTGTCAATGAAATCTTTCGAGGGAGTTCCAAGAAGTTCTAAAAAGAAAATTAATCTTTAGATCTATTCATTAATAAAACATATTCAATTTCGTAAATATTAGGTTTTGTTGAGAGTACAAGGGATATTGGTCAATGATAATGTAAACAGAAATTACTCCGTTTACATTATCTATTATTCTCTGTTTAATATGTTTATGAGTAAGAAGCTTTTCCATTTGATGAAAAGTATTCAGGTTAGTATGAAATTAAAGTTACAAGGCGTAAATCTATTACATACCTTCATTAGCGAATTTATGATTTAATTTTGGGGGGAGGGAAGGGACTTCAGCCCAAAAGCTTTTTATATATATAACAATAATTACTTAGGCAAATAGTGTTTTCAGTGATTCATGAAGCCTTATTAAATTTGTGGGCAGGGTGGCCGAATGGGCTAACGTGTGTGCACAGATCTGCCATTGTCCGGCAACCTGATATATGAGACAATTGATATAAAATAGTCACGATAAATAAATAAATTCTTGACTGCACATTCTGACCATTTTTTATCTTTATAATTTCAAGAGTCGACTATATAACCATCTCTAAGAACAATAATACTTTTAGAGATTATTTTTTTTCATAAGAAATAGTTATATTTAGTAACTATGTATGCATTATATTTTTTTTAAAAAGAACATTCTGTAATTGTTTAAGCATTTAATACTTCATAATAATACTTTTAGAGATTATTTTTTTTCATAAGAAATAGTTATATTTAGTAACTATGTATGCATTATATTTTTTTTAAAAAGAACATTCTGTAATTGTTTAAGCATTCAACTTAGATCATTCACAGTAATAAATAATGGGCAATGAAAAAATATAAAAATATTTCATTTTGAGGGCTTCGGCTCGAAAGCCCCCGGAGATCTGCCAGTGGTTACAATAAAAACTTTCAATTTAAGATTTCCTTTTTTTGTATTCCTTACTTTTTTAAACATTTGGGAAAGAAATTTGCATTGGCTGATTAGACACAAATTTGACGAATTTATTACAAAATTAGATTATAGCAACAAATGTAACATAGGATAAACGGTTGAATATTACTTATTTTTCTGTGCTTATGAATTACAATTAGTTTCTAAAAATGTCTGAACAGTGAATAAAACAATGACAATAAAAAAAAAAATTACATGCCTATAATTTTATTCCATTGATTGATTTGGTCGGTTCCTCGAAACAGAACTCGTCCAGCTATTATTTCTCCAAATATGCATCCAATAGACCAAATGTCAACATTTTCCTTATAACCTATTCCCAGAATAATCTATAGATAAAAAATAAAAAATAATATTTAACACAAAATAAACATGATTAAACTAAAGCAAATTTAAGATAATAAACTATAAATAAATACATTTTCTGACAGATTATCAGAATCAGTTCTAGACACAGGTATAGTAACTAGCATTATCAATGGACCAATTGTTCAACTCCAGACAGCAAACTACAGGGTACACAAAAAATAAATCTAACTAATCCAAGTAGCAATCAAAGCTATACTGCTCCGAACCCTCTTTATCTCTTGGACCCTCACCCCTTATTGCTTTGGATTCTCTTGCATCACTAACTCAAGTTGGTGAAATAAAAACTGACCAACGTGTGAATCGAACCCACACTGTTTACAACTGAGCCTTATCTGTCATGCTAACGTGTATGGACATCTAAGTTAAAGCAAAAATAATCTGTTACCATATAAATTATTAAATAATGAACAGAGAGGCTTATAGAATCCTGGATTCCCATCCAACAATTTTAATAATAACTAGTTTAATAAAAGGCAAATTCACCAATAATACATTTATTTTCACAAACAGTAAAATTTAAAAATAATAAAGTAATGAATAACATGCCCTCTCGCTCCTGTGTATATATGCCATTTAAAACTAGGCTACATTTATCAAAACAAACAATTAAATATAATATTCATGAAACATAAGCTATAAAAAATAAACAATAAGTTCTGAAATTCTGTGTAATACTTACTTCTGGTGCTCGGTAGTACCTAGTTACAACGTACGGAGACATTTTCCATGAGTGACAAATTGCTCTAGAGAGGCCAAAATCAAGTATTTTCAATGTGCAGTTGGAGTTAACACCAACATTACTTGGCTTCAGATCCTGAAATAAAAATATTTTTATAACATTAGTTCTTCAAAAAAAGTAACATCAAATACAAATTAAAGCCATATATAAAATCAAAGCATTACAATTCTCTTTCGACTAAGTATTTAAAATCTAGTCATAGCTACAACAGAAGATGGGTGTATTTATTTAGTATCCATTTCAAAAACACTAAATAATTTTTGCACTGGTGCAGTCTATTTAAAAAACTACAAACATAACAGAAAATAAAAGCTGATACCACAAAGGTTCAAGTTCTCCAAAAAGCATACATAAACGATAAAGAGGATTAGATTATGATGATGATGATGATAATGAAAAATAAAAGTACAATTGAATCTTTTAAATCATTTTCTATTTTAGTAATACTAGCAAAAACTGTAATTTTTTTTAGGTTTAAAGAAGTACCAAAGGCAATTTCTTAGGGTATTACTTATATTATATTTCTAGAAATACTTCTTCATCAATTTTTATCGAAGTTTAAGGATTTAAATCTTTTCTAACAGAAAATGTATGAGTTTGAATTTAATGTAAAAAAACGACATTACTTTCCGGTCCCCCTAATAGTTATATAGTTTTATTGTTCTCTCTTCATTTTACTATAGGGTTCAAATGTGAAAACAAGAATTATATAATAAAATCTAACAAAAGAATTTACCCTGTGAATAATTCCAGCAGAATGAAGATATTTAACACCGCAGAGAAGTTGATAAAGAAGAAATGATAGTCTCTTGTGATTTAGTTCTCCACAAGAATCAAGTGTTGCTTCCACAAAATCCATCACTAAATAAATGTCCTGAAAATCTGTCAATGTTTGGGGAGTAAATACCTCCAGTAGCTTTACTACCTAACAAAAAATGAATTATAAATTAAACTTGTAATAAATAAATAAAATTATTTACATATGAAATCATGTATGCTCTTGATATTTCCTTGACCCGATAACCATTTCTACCAGTGTTTAGAGTTCTCAACTACTTCTCTCAGCAGCCATTCTGATTATATTTCTCATTCTTTTGGGGAAGATATATAAATATATGAATTTACAAAACTACTAAAATAGTGTAACTGCCACCTTCTAACAAAGTTTGGTGTTTACCACATGTCAAGTGGTAGTAAACTATAATTATTAACCCTATGAAAATTTGGGTACAGAATGGATTAATCTATATTTAGATTGATAGTATTAATGATTTTATAAAGGTTTTAGTAAAAAAGCAGGAGAGATGGGGTAAAATATAGAAGTATTTTTGAAATTGTATTTGGTAGTATAACATTGAAGTTTCATATAGAATTAATTTAAATTTTGTTAATTATTTTAAATAAGTATATAATAAAGTGTGTCATGTGGACGAGAAGTTTTATTTGATATATTAAAAAAATATATTTGTACGGAAACCTGATTTCCTTCATTAAGTAATGTTTAAACAAGGGAACACATTACACAAGTAAATATTTAAAATGAATATTTATAAGATAAAAAAATGAAGAATTATAAGATTAATATGGTGTTGAGAGAAAAAGGCATGATGGCTTAAGACACCAGTTGAGTTAAATGACACCTCTACCTTAAATTTTTTTTTATGATGGCACTAAACCCAAAAAGATTTAAAGAATTTAATTATATTCTAAACATTCAATGGAAGATAACAAAAGAAGATAGAACATGCATTACCTCCAATAATACTCAACTCTGGTTGGTGTTACTTAAATCCAATAAAGCATTTGTGACAGAAGCAACAGGTGGTGTTAGCTGGATGGCATCATGAAATACTAAACTTATCCGTAACAGTTAGTAATATACATGCTTAACTGACTGATATGACTGATTTCTTCGATTCCTTACATTCTTATGATTCATAAGCTTCATAATAGTTAATTCTCTATAAGCTCTTCTAGCAAACACAGTATTTTGAAAAGCTTTAGAGAGCTTTTTTATAGCAACCCTTTCCCCAGTGATTGTATTAATCGCAGAACTAAAAAATGAAAATTAAGTTTCACAAAATTAATAAAAATAAGTATAAATAATTTTCGTACATTTGGTTAGAAATTGAAACTTACCAAACAGAACCTTGCGAACCAAATCCAATCAAATTTAATTCTTGATATTTAACAGGAACATTGAATACTAACCCTTGATCGAATGATATGGAATGATACATGGTGTTTAGAAGTCTTGATTCTACCTCAATGCACAAAAAAAAAAAAAAAATTGACAGTGAAAATTGATTTATTCTTAACTAAATGAAATAATGGAATTCATTAGTAGAAATCAGGAGAAGTACCATTTTTACAGTTTCTGTTAAAATTTATAGGAACAAAAAGTTTAAAAATAAAACGTTTGTTTAAGACTTTGTTTAATAAAGTCTAAATTTATAGTAAAAGTCTAATTGTAAGTTTTTTTAAAAAAGTTATGTCAAATGAAAAATAAACAGAGTTTACATTAGAATTAGAATTTATCTTAAATGAATTACTTAATTCTAATGTTTCGTTTGTTTAAGTACCTAACAATAAAAGTAATTTTTTAGATTGACATTTTAGTGAAATCAATATAACTTTTAAATCATATTTTTTTAAAAATAAAGAACCTGTAAAATCTTTACTTGAAAAGTCGCAGAAGATAAAGTTCTAGTACTCAAATCACAGAAAAATTTTTAAAATAAAGATCCCAGTCCAACCGACACTGATTAAAAAAAATAATTAAATATTCATTTTAAATATTGATAGAAATTAATTTCTCTAGAATGTCTTCATTAAATAATAATACAATGCAGGCAGATAATTGAACTTAAATATGACTTTATAACATTTCTTCTGTAAATAATACTTTTTTAATTATATTAATAACTTTATGATAATCAAACTTAAATTTTTAAAACAATAAATTTTCCAAGTATCAATTCAAAATTGTAATATTTGATATACTATGACAATATTATTTTCTCCTCACTTCTTGCCCTTATGTCCACTTTAATAAACAGCCATTCTTATTTTACAGTGTTCTTTATTATTTTTATTTGTATACTTCATGTTCTTTCTCAACATATAATTTGCGCCAGTTTTGTGTGTCTTAGAAAATGATCTAACACCCAATTTGGTTGGGTACATTAATTTTAACCAGGCTTATTCAATGACTTACCCAATTTTGGAACTAATTATAAGCTGAAGAGAGAGACAAAATATTCCCGAAACGTAAAAATAAAAATAACAGTGAGAATTAAGAGTGTTTGTTTAATAAATTGGTTATTTAGGCAAGAAGGAGAAAATAATTAATAAAATAAGGTGATGAATATAAACTAATAAATGAGGATGTTAGGTCAATAATTAATTTCCATACTGTAAATAAGTTAAATTGGATTAAAACATATCTCATCATAGATTTCACAACTAAAACATATTAAAAATCCACTTACCTTACCAGAGAGCAAAATCAGTCTCGTTCAATTTATCTTATTTTTAATATCACCATCCAGAATATAAAAACTATTTGGTACGTGCCAGGGGAGACATAAGCTCCAACTAAAGAACGACTGTGTACTCAAAATTGATAACGCCGAGTGATGAGTAATCTCCTGGAACAATTGCCAAGGTCATGATCCACTCAGTTTCGTTAAATGTTTTTAAACTACCACTTAACAGTTAGTTGCATTTTTCGCATCAATTACACTAATATTTTGACAATGATGCCATTATATTACTGTTTATTATTATTTATGTAATGAATAGATACAAATTATTATCTAAAATTATAGTTTAACGGAGTTTTCATTTGCAAGGAAGAAAATCGGAACAATGCACTATTTTGTTTACATTATCTAAAAAAAAACCTTATTAGCAAAAATAATTGGCAGATAAGTCGTGCTGACATCGAAAAAATGGCACAAGTTCAACGTCCCGTTCGTTGAACTTGGCGGTTTTGCCGTTTCTTTTTTTTTTTTTTTTGAAAGTTTGGAGCTTGCTTATTATTTTTTCAAGGAATAAAAAGAAAGAAAATTCTTAGATAATATTTAACAAACCAGGTTAAATAGCGTGTCGATTTACGTATACTAGTGTTCGTCCAGAAGTCGAAATTCGACCATAATCATTAAAAAATTGAGGAAAACATAGAATTAAATAAAAAATAAATAAAGAATAAATCACGATTCAAAAATCCTCATTTATTAATAAAAACAAAATTTCCATTTCAATTAGCTAAACTACTTATAATTATTTATAAGTAATACAAAATAGACTCATTCAAAAATATTTAATTTTCATTTTAATTTATGTGTGTTATTATCACAATAAATTAATGTTATGATTAAGCAAGTAAAAAAAATAAATAAATTAGCTATTTCAATTCCGTTTAAATCAATTTTTAAGTAGAACTTCTTCTTGTTCTTTTTGAATGTTCTGTTATTGTTTAGTACATAGGCTTGCCCTTGCCATTGTGAATATAAATGTCAAAATTTGCTCTACTTGCTGCAACACACGGACGGATCTACGGGGGAGGGGGAGGGGAGGAGCTTTGGGCCGAAGACCTCCCCCCCTATCTCCCCAAATGGTAAAATATAACCATGTTTTATGGAACAAAATATAAAAAAAATATCTCTTAAAGTATTATTCTTCGTCTAATTACATTTAAAAGGACTTTAGGAATCACTTAAACACCATTTCATATAGGTAGTAAGTTTCTTTCTTTTTCTCCGATTTAATTATGGTCATAGCAAATGCAACTATTAATAAGAATGTTGTTCTTTGAAATTCGAATGGAAGTATTGTCTCAGTCACGGGCGGATCTACGGGGGTGGGGGCTTTCGGGCTGAAGCCCCCCCCCCAAAATGGAAAAATATAACCATGTTTTATGGGAAAAAAAATTTAAAAAATACCTCTTAAAGTATTATTGTTCATGTAATTACATTAAAAAGTACTAAAGGAATAAATTAAACACCATTTCATATAGGTAGTTAGTTTCTTTCTGTTTTTCCAAAGTAATTATCGTTATTTTTATGAAAAAAAAGGTTTCGGGCTGAAGCCCCCCCCAAAATTAAATCCTGGATCCGCTAGTGGTCTCAGTTAAATGACAAATTAATTCTTGGAATTAAAATTCTTTTATTTAAAGTAGCTCCTATTAGTACTTCACTACATTCGTGTTCCATTAACTAATGCTTGTGCAGTATTTAAGTTAAGAATGAGCACAACTATAGAATTTGCTTTTAAATTTAATTTATGAGGTAACATTCAATGATATCATATCTTCAAATAATAGTCCCGATTACATCAGTAAATGTAAAATTTTCGATTTAACAAAAACAAAAATAATGGAAATCGTCTTTGAAAAAGTATAAGTACTAAATGTTTAAAACGATATATCTCTGCAACAAATAGTCCGATTTCGATCATTTTTATTTCGTATGGAATTCAGGAAGCTTTTAAATAAATATCGGTATTATCAATAAAAAAATGTGTACTTCTTGAGTTACTCGCAAATAAAATACTGAATAAATCATAAAAATGTATGCAGGTTGTTTTCGGGAAAGTATGTCATATACATAAATTATAAAAGTAACAAGGGCAAGACTTTAGCCAAATTTCATTAAAATCGTCGCAGCTGTTTAGCTGCTACAGGCTAAAGCGAATCACATTTTTCGGCCGCCATTTCGAAAGGAAAGGCCAGATGATAATGAAATGTATGCAAAAACACTCCTAAATCTGATTGCAACATTGTGTCAAAATTTTTATTTACATACACTATTTCTATCTATTGATAACACTAAAGCCCGTCAATAGCTATTAAACAAAAAAAGAAGGAAGAAAATCGGTTGAATAATAGAGGAGAAAAAGGGGCTGAATCATTTTGTTTGTCTATTCACTAGCGGATCCAGGATTTAATTTTGGGGGGAGGGGGCTTCAGCCCGAAACCTTTTTTTTTCATAAAAATAACGATAATTACTTTGGAAAAACAGAAAGAAACTAACTACCTATATGAAATGGTGTATAAGTTATTCCTTAAGTACTTTTAAATGTAATTACACGAACAATAATACTTTAAGAGGTATTTTTTAAATTTTTTTCCCCATAAAACATGGTTATATTTTTTCATTTTTGGGGGGGGGGGCTTCAGTCTGAAAGCCACCCCCCCTCCCTCCCCGTAGATCCGCCCATGTGTCTATTTATATAATGATTAAAAAAAAAGTTTAGCCACTTATGTAATACAGTGTTGTTTTTTATAAACTAATTTAATAAAGTTTATGCAGTGTGCACAGTTTTAAAATTAACTAAATAAAAACTGACTTCCTCTTGAAATAATTTACAGAACAATGAGAAATTATTTTTATACTTTTACTTAACTATATATGAAATATATAGTCAGAGAAGGTACATGGTATAATTGTGAAAAATTTCGAATCTGATTTTTCAACGAAAAGACATGTTTTGTGTCTGATAATCCAATATTCCAAATAATCAAATCACATGAAATGGTCTGTGTATGTGCAAACAGCCTAGTTCTAAAACGAGAAGTTGTAGGAAAATGAAATTGCTTGTTTAAGTTTAAATATGCCTGATATATGAGAGCCTTTTACACTAAAATCAGCAAACCAGTAGTGGCACTTTGTATAACCCATTATTCACATTATTATTTATTTCTGGAAAAGGGCCCTAGTGATTTTTATTAATTGAAATGAAATAAATGCACAATTTAATGATTTTTAATATTTGTTAAACCTTATAAAAATATCTTATATATTATTTCTAAAAGATGTTTTTTTGTAAGTACACCATAACTTCCTCAATTCTTCATCAAATCCAATGATGGACCATTCATTTTGAAGATATTTTTCCCCTTCACATGCGAAAAATAGTCCCATCCCCCGAAATTTCAGGAAAAAAGTTATATCGGAAAAGAAATTTTATTTGCAAATAACTCAAAAAGTATGCATTTTTTTTCTTGATTGTACCCATGATTATTAGAAAGATTACTATTTTACCTACAAAACAAAAAAAAAATTGTAAAAATTAGACAATTATTTATAAAGATAATAACTAATTAAATAAATAAAGAGAAACCATTAATTTTGGTATACTTAATAATTTTTTCCTCTTTAAAAATACTGCTTTTACTATTCTACTATACTTTTTTCCTGACTGATATATTAACTTTATTATTTCTTAAAGGCATTTGTTTGTTCTTACATTTTATATTTTTTAAGAATTTAGAAAATTCCTTGATCGAGTCTTTATTTTGGCTTTACTACCTTTATTATCTTTCCAGTAAACATTGGAAAATAGACCCTAGCAAAGCAATTTGTACAACTATTTTGATATATTATGTTAAATGAATTATTGTAACTAACCAAGGAAAAATAATTTATTTCTCCCTCAGATAATATATAGGATCTACTTATTTCCTTATTGTTTTACTATTCCTTCACTAAACAAAATTTTCTGCGAATTATTTGCACGGGCCAACTAGTTTATATATATTATAAAAATATTGATATAGTCTAATAGAGCTTAAATGCCGAATTTTCAAAATTTCTTCGTATGAAGTACCTTCAATATATATTTGAAGTAAATAAGTTTCTCATTGTTAATAGTAATAAGAAATGGCTAAATATAAACTATGAAAGAATTTTATAACTAACAGAATTAGTTACAGTTGCTGCAATATCCCAAACATCCTTAGAAACTTTTTTAAAAACATTAATATCTAAAATATAAATTCCTAGAAGGTAATGGAGAAAAACCAAAAAAACATATGAATAATGATTTCTGAAAATTAATATTATTTAATTGAAACCAAAAATATAAAAAGAATTGAATGGTTTATGAAATAAGTGCATAACACTGAAAATATTTCAATTATGGTTTACAGGTTGATGAAAGATAAGGTAGTACTCTACTTTAATAACTTTAGCCACAATAATGGATTTAAATAATTGAATTTTCACTAGCCCTGATCAAGCAGAAATTTAATAATGTAGCTAAGTGAAAATTGTGGGATTCACAATCTAACCACTTTTTAAACAGAGATTTTCCAACTACATTACAAACCATATACTTGTTTAAAATACTTAAACCAGAAAAATTTAAGTAATGTATATATTTTAGATACAAACATTCATTATAATATAGGTAAATTGGAGAAATTAGGTTGTACTAGATATGTGAAATCATTTTGAAATATGAACTTACTACTCTTTTTTTGGTACAGGTTATGTCTTTCAGAGTCTCATCAACTATTTTTCCAAAAATGTAATTATAGAGTAGCCAGAATAAATATTTCCAATCATATAAAGTGAAAAAAAGGCTAATGCAAATAAGAATAGTCTTCAGCCAAGTGATATGATGTTTTTAAACTTTGCTTACATTGCATTGTTAAATGTATTGATATGGACATATTAAAACTACAAATTGGCCACCATTTTGAAATATTTTTTAACTAATAAAAGGATTCCTAATTGTAAATACGAAACCAAAATCAGTACCTATTATTTTAATGTTAATTTTGGACAGTAATTAAATTTGGAAAAATTAATTATGATTAGTAATATATGTTTCCACTTTTCAAATAAATTTTAACCACATCTAAGTGCTGATCAACAATTTAGACCTGGCCTAATATAAACTAGTCATTCACTTCAAATCACAGCAAAGTTTGGCATTAAAAAAATAAAGTCTAGAGTTCCGATTAAAAATATGTATAACTTTAATTTATTTATTAAAGAAGGCAACATGCATTTAAATTTATTACAACTATCCTAAAAATAAGTTCAAGTATTAAAAGTAGTCTGTTTTGTCCATCTATTTTGAACACCATATGTTCAAGTTGTATTCTATTTACAGGAAAATATAATGAGGCTTTTTCTGGAACATAAGCCTCACTATAATGGAATAAGGAGTGTAAGTTAATGGTATGATCATTTTCAAAAACTATTGAAAAATATCATGCCAAATCCATAAAAAAGAGAACATGAAAGGTAATATACAGCATAAACATGTTATAGAAAATGATTGTATATCATGGGTTTATTAATTACAATTTTTTAAAATCTAATGCATATTGCATACCTGTCTTAATCTCATGATTAACGGGTTTAGAACATAATTTTGATAATAAACAATATATTGGTAACAGCTAGCAAAATCAGGTAAAAAATATTTCACAAGTTTATAATATGTTATTAAACAATCTAATTATATAATTATATATGTGTGTATATAGTAAATGTATATAAATATACACACATGTATATATATATATGTACTTATTTATTTATAATGCACGGCCCTAATTACTACATATTGTATTTTCTAGTTATAATATAATAATATAGCTACTTTGTACAGTCACAAATAAATATCTACCTTATAAGGTTACAGGCTTTTTAATTTGAAAAATTCTACCTTCGAAAAACTGAAAAAACTTATTTCTATTTTAATAAACATCAGCAATTTTATTAATAAATAAATGCTGGAAACAAACTCATGAAAGGGTGTACATCATTTAATAATGCTATTTTATTTTACACCAGAGTGCACAACATGAGAGGTTACGCTTAATTAAATTCTATATTATAATATATATATTATGTATAACTAGAATATCACTTTCATACTAAAAATTTGTAAGCTAAATCGAATTTCAGACTAATGCAATACATATTCACAAAAATACAGCATCAACCATGTTTTTTTTCCATTTTTTTTTATACTTATGTACAGGAGGTATATTTTGATTTACAGAGTTGAATGAAATAAAAAAAAAAAAAAAAAAAAAAAATCAATTTGTCTCATTGCATATCCACACAGTGGAGGGAATATAGGGAATATAATCCCAGAAATCTCAACCTTTTTGTGATTTCAACCCATTAAATAAATCAAACTAGTCAATTAGACCAACATTTAGACAAAATAAAATATTTAAAAAAATATTAATTAAGAAAAGGTTGAGATTTTTACATTATAAATATAAAATTAAACTAAATTGGAAAGGGAGAAGAAATAAAGTCAACCCTGCTTATAATAAAAGTGCTAACAAATCGCTTAGCCTATAGTATTATCTCACAACACATATTTTTAAGATATAAACACGACATGTTGATAAGTTATGGAACGGAATTCTATTAAATTCAAGATCTGAATTAATAATCAGACCAATTTTTCTTTTACATTCAAACATGTCAAAATTATACACATTTTTAAAATATTTTTACCTTATAAAACTATAAGAATATCACCCCTTATATAATAACAAGGTTTTACAGAAGGTTTCTTATTTAATTTAAACATCCTCAAATTAAATAAAAACCTTTATGAAGCAAAGTATTGTTTGGTTCAAATACTTTTATTAAGATTGTAGACTGAAGCTCTAAATTGTAAAATTGTTTGATAAATAAAACAAGCATGGAAAGAAAATTTAAAATTAAAAATAAAATAAAATAATTTCATAAAAAAATAAATAAAAATAATTCATCAATTAGTATAAGATTCAGTTAATTTATTTTGACCGTGAAATAAATTCAAAATTGTGTAAAAATAAGAAAAGATCAGTCATGGTGATGAGGTTTGGTTATAAAAACAAAACCGACAAAATTATAATATGGACATAAATATTGGAGATTTGAAGCAACTTTCCAAGCCAACCATCCCAAGAGAGTTACTCTTTATAGATTGTGTACACAATCTAAATATTCTTAATGTCGGACCACTTTAGCCAAGTTTACAGTTAAAAAAATATTTACAGAAAAATAAAATATTAGCCATTCACAACAATGTCAGGTTAATGATGTTCATCAAACAATAACAGCAAGTAATTTACTACCCAGGATGAATAGGAAAGTACTTTAAAAATTAACTCTATCAAATCATTTAAAAAATAATCAAAATAAAAAGTTCTATCTTCCGTTCACTTCAATTTATATGGAATATTGATAAATAATATAAGCATTAAGAATTGAAATACTATGCAGTAAAACGGTGTTACCTAACTACTTCAATTCCTTTAATTAAATCAGCTTAACATATTCAAGGAATAAAATGTAAATATTGGTGACAATATATCGGAATATAACCTGTCATCAATGAGGAGCTAGATAACCTCATGGCATGCTACCTTTCACTTAACCTATAAGGGCAGTGGCCTTAAAATGAATTTACAATCAGAGAATTATACAAGACGGTAAATATATTTGTTAAAAAAAAAAAAAAATAATAAATAAAAAAACATATTTTTTACATAAATATGTTTGATTTGAAACTCATTTTAAACCATTTTATTGTCTAATTCTCTATAAAAGTTCGTAAAAAATAATTTTTTTTATATGAATAAAACATTAAAGTGAAGTGCCAAACATGATCACTAATGTTCTGTAATTTTTAGTACACAATACATTTATCAATATTATTTTATCACTATAGTTGGATAAATTGATAGCTCATATTTTTAGAATTCTGCAATAAGGGCTGCTCACTAGATGACTGATGGGACACACCCTAAAATTATTAATTACTATTAACGACCTCAAATACAGGATGTAATAAGAGTTTAACAGTGTCCCATTACTACATTATATAAATTAAAAATACGTATTTCGATTGAATTATTATTTATTAATCTAGAAAAACACAGTCCAACATCTATATTGGAATGAATAACAGCATCGGGCATTTTCATTGATGAAAGACCCTAAAGATTACATCTACAGGCATAGTTTCAATTTATCTACTGCGTATAATACAAGGCTTTCACTTCAACATTTATAACCTATTTTAAATATATAGATATAGAAAGGTCATGAGCCAGAAAATTATCCAGATTATTTTCAAAATGTAATTGGCAATCAGGTACATTGGATATAGGTTTACACAATCGACTTCAATAAGTCACTTTGTCAAGGAAGGATTATATTTCATATTTTCAAATAAACAAAAACTTTTAGAGTAAGTTTATATCTATATATATTTATCTTTTTGTTGAACAGAATCAAAATATTTAAAAACATTTTAAATAAACTTTAACCAATATTTTAATAAGTAGAAACAGTTATTGGAATTCAATCATTTTTAGCTAGTTTATAATCACTACGCTACTACAGAGACTCAAACAGTGCAATACTGCGAGATCATTGCATACAATCTCACTAAAATACAAAATAAATACTTTTAATAGTGCTTCATGAATTCAATATTACAGCATTGTTTATTAAAATGAAATAATATTAAATCTTTTTTTTTTGTTTTTTAAAATCTTTTTTTTTATGTATGTACAAATGGATTTTCATAGCCTTCATCAGAGGGTAAAATATAATAACTAATAATAACAAGAAAAAAACAAAAAAGTCTTTTTCTAAAATATAGACTAAAAACAAATGGCACTTCAACCTGAGCTATGAGCTATGTTTATATGATTTATAAATTACAGGAAACAAGTTTTTACCTTACACTATAAAAAGATACAACACCTTGTTTCTTAAATATAAATGTACATGAAAAAAAAAGAAAAAAAGAAACGAGATAATTCATAAAGGATATAAAAATAAAAGATTAACATTTTAAAGTTTTTACATGAAAGCTATAATTCTCCCATTCCATTGACCCATTACCCAATCCCAATTTTATGTACATGACACTTCTTAAGGAAAGAAAAATTAAATAAATAAAAGATTTTGTCAATTACAATTAAAATAGTTCTAGTTTTCTTCTCAAAATAACTTAAATTGCACCTCGAACGAAAAGGGAATTTCATTTCATTAAAAAAAGCGAAAATAAAAAAGATGAAAGAGAGATGTTTCGTTGTATACGAGGCTCCTATATTTAGCCTACCGCCTGTTGGGGGAAGCTTCCTCTTCAGGCGGAGCAGGAGTAGAGTTATGACTTTGCTCGTATTCCATCACTTCCTGATATATCAGATCCTTCCACTGTTCAACTGAATGTTCCCTTTCATCCACTGAATGATCATATGGCCCTGGAGCTGGCTAAAGATGTTTAAAAAAAAAATAAAAAACTGATTACAAATTTGATAAATCTTATACCTAATAAGATTAATATTTAAAATAAAGCAAATTGCATGTAATTCTAAATTAGATGGGGCTAAATTCTGTATGATTCACCGAAAGCATGAATTTAACGAACTTTGCTGTAAAATGCACTTGTTAAATACTTTAATGTACTTGTAATTTAATGTAACACCTTCCATAAAAGACAACTTTGGATATCAATGCAGGATGCACATAAACAAGAACAAAAAAGTAAATAAATGGAACCATGACGAACTGGTAAAAGGATATCATACAACAAATATATACCACTAGGCTGGAATATTGAGAAAGGATTTAAAACGATCAGAGAACTGAGGATGGTGGAACAAAACCAAGAGGACATGTTCCGGTGGACAGAGGCTCTTCTACACTGAGAGGCAAAAGTGGAATAGGAAAAAGATAAGAAATATTTCATCATTTTTATTTTTAATAAATAAACCTTTTAATTTTCTTTTTAACATAATACATAGTTCTTAGTTTTCGACCTAAAAACTGAGATATAATTAACAAAATTCAAGCCATTTTTGAGGCTCCAATTTTATTTATTGTTCGCTAAAATAACTAACTGCAGTACATTAAATTTTGTAATTAACCTTCCAGCGAATGCACTGGTGCACAGAATGCGCCAACCTCGGTTTTCAGGCTGTCAAATCTCTCAAAGCTTCAAAGCTCTCAAAGAATGTGGTGGTAATCGCAGGAATTCGTTTATCTAACCTTTATTGTCCTTCTGCTACCTTCATACCTGGTTCACTGATTCTTACAACCTCCAGTTCTTTTTTAAATTGTTTGGAATACTGATGTGGCACACTCCATGTGCCGCAGGCCCCACATGTGTTATACTCATAACTTTTCTTGGATATTTTTGGTGTTTGCGGTTGAATTTAATATTGAAAGAAATGATTTGGAACGATGTGATGTGTGTACATACAAAAAGAACATACAACACTATGAAAACATGTTTCAAGTATAAAAAATACATTTGCAAGAGCCATCTTGTAATTGAGCCTGTGAGCATTTTGTGTCATTGGCAAGATGAATCTGATTATGAGTAATTTGAATATATAATTAATTTGTTGGGTTGAATATTTTAGTTATTATTTTTTTCAAATTGCTTTTAAACTATAGTATAGTTTATATTATAGTATAATAAACTTCTGTTGTTTTGTAATTAAGTTTATGTTATATGTTATCAAGTATTCATAAGTTATATTTGTTTATAAATGGCGTCTCCAAGGATATATAAGTCCTCATAATTTTACTAATTATTCACTTTTTAACAATGTTTTGCAGCTTGCTCATTCTCAAGTTATCTATCATAGGCAAAAAACATTGTTAATAATAATAATAATTCACTACCATTAAATAATTAATGATTACTATTGTTTTTTTGACTATTTATATATAACCTGAGAATGATCAAACTGCTCGAAACATTGTTACAAAATGAATGAATAGTAAAATTATACGGGCTTATGTATCCATGGAAAAACAATTTTTAAGTACATTAAGTGCTCTTGAAAAATCTATTTAAATATATTTGTTTTTGTTTTCATCAGATGTAATCTATTAAATTAAAGTTCACAAAATATTTGTTTCTCTATCATAAAATTTAAATAAAAACAATAGAAAAAATAAGTTACAATAATTTAATATAAATAAATACTATTAGAAATTGTATAAATACAATTTAATGTAAAAAATAGTGAATTTAGAGCTTTAATAACAGTAAAAAAATAATTAATCATAACTACAAAAAGGCCTGGAGCACTCTATGCAGTGGTAGGATACTAATCTTCCAATGCTCAAGGTCCCGGGTTCGAATTCCGATTCTTGCCAGAAAAATTATTTATTCTGTGTTATTAGCCGTGGGGCGACCCTGGGGTAGGAAGACCCTCCTGGAGCACACCCAACCACTATAAAGTGGGTACTCTTAAATAAAAAAATTAATTAAGGGGAAAAACATCACGATTGAGTGTGTTCACGGTCAAATCACCTCCTTGCACAACCGTTGACTAAGAAACAGTACTTTCCCTAAATAGTGCTGGACCCACGACCCTTCATGGAATGTAGAGGTACAGTTTTTTTTTTATTAACAAAAGCATTTTCAGAAGTTACACCATGTTCGAGTTTTCGCTCAACTTTTGATACAACAAAGAAACTTATGAAATGATATTAATTAAAAATTGTTTAGTTAAAATAAAACAGAATAAAATTATAATTACCGCATTCACTTCCCCTTCATCATACCAGACATTAATATAAGGATGAAGTAATGCATCATCAACCGATATCCGTCTCTCTGGATCTATTACTAGCATTCGGGAGAGAAGATCTCTAGCTTGACTAGCTGTAAATCAACAATAAAGAACAAGATTTAAAACAATAAATAATATCTTCATAATAAATAAAATTAATATATTATAGTAGTGGGGAGGGCCAGTCATCACTTGAAAATGAGTATCAATAAAAATTAGTCAAACAGTAAAGATTTTAATCTTATAATATATAAATTTGAAAATATAAAGATCTCTTTTTTTTTTCCCATATCTTACAAATTAAGCTAGCCAAGCTTTATAAATTCTAAAAAATCAATTAATTCTATCTTTTATTCCCTTAGGGCTCCAATTTAAAGTGAAGGGGATTTTATAGTTAAACATACCTCACAGCAGACTTGGCCAGTATTTCAAATGAAATATTTAAAAAATAAAATACATTTGATTGTATTATTTTTAAAAATTAAAATATATTATTTGTAATTGTATTGTCTTTTAAAAATACAATATTACATAAAATGTATTTTATTTTTTATAGTAAATACACAAAATAAATCACACAATGTAGTAGTTTCTTTCAAGTTATCTAGCAAGGCAGATTGTTTCCACAATAACTCTAGCCCATAAAAATTGTATTTGAAAGGTGGATGGTGTTAATTTAAAAAAAAAACCATCTTTGGTAACAAACCATGACATGCCTAAAAAAATTGTCTAGGAGTCCTGGGTCTCATAAAATATTTTTTTTTAATTTTTATTATTGAAATTTACAACTGTATTAAATGATAAATACAAGTAACATGACATGTACAACATGAAGAGAAGCTACCCATTAGTAGCACTCCAATTATATTTCTATATTAGAAGGTCCCGGGGGCATCTTATTTTCAGACATCTCGGAGGGTTCTAGTGGTTCAGATGTTTATTATAGAAGATTTTATTTGTGAAAAAGTAGGGAGAATTGAGGATTTTACACATCTATCTTGACAGATGTGTTGAGGTGAATCAAGCTTAGACGAGTACGTTGGCCTGGCCATGTGGCCAGAATGCCACAAGAGGAAGTCCCAAGGAAGTTGCTTGATGGAAAGCTCTGCAGAACAAGAGGGAAAGGCTGACCACATCCAAGATGGGAGGACGCTGTCATCCGGGACGCCAGAGAATTATTATACTCACCTACAACTGGCGAGCGACTGCACAAGAGTCATCTGGTGAGGGTTCATTGAGGCGGCCAAGGACCACACTGGTCTCTGGTCTGTAGCGCCATGGAGTTAGTTGGTTATTGAGGATTTTATGAAGGATTTTGGATTGTAGGGATTGAATACGAGAGGATTTGATGGTTTAGTAGAGCCCCAATCATCAAATATAGGATGGAAGAGTATACTTTGTGTAAGTGATATTTTTGTACAATAAAATATTTTAAACAAGTAAGGTGGACTACTGGCAGTTTGTTGGAAAATAAAGTCATTTTTTAAAAATATAATATTTTCAGCAAAACAATAGAAAAGAATCAATTTACACAACTTAAAGCTCCTTTCTTCACAAAAAATATTTATTTTTTAAGAAATTAGTTGTAAAATGTAACTACTTGATCTTAATCTATTATTTTTGAGGGTTTGAAATTAATAATTAAAAAATGAAAATAAAAATCAAATCTGATCAAAATTTTTATATAGAATTTTTAAAAATTATTATTTTGTATTATATTGAAATTGTTAGAAGAAAAAAAAATGTAGCCATGTAAAAATTGTTTATTTATTATTAATGGCACCGACCGACAGATGTTGCCATCTGGTCGGGCCAAATTGAAATTATTGGTTAATAACCTCTAACTCAAAACTCTTTAATTTGAAATACTGTTCCCAAAAACAATTTTGACAGTTAATAATTGTGTCTGTCTGATAGCATTGTTTGCCAATGGTATAGCAGAACTGTTGTAATTTCTTCACAGTAAAAGTTAAAACAAGAGAAGATACACTATATTAAACAAACTTACCTTTTAATCGATTATGTTCATTAGAATCAGTTGGAAACAAAACATCTGGAAAAAGCCTATCAAAAGGATAACCAGCATAGCGAGGTCGATTTTCAACATAATTCCGAACAGTTAGCTGGAGCCTCTGCATGAAGTCAGCTGAGGGAGTACCCAATTGTTCTAAACCAAGAAAAATAATCAAAATATAAAAAATCTGATGTTGTGTGCTCATCACATAACTTTTACTTACCAATCTAAGAATAGATAGATATTTTCATAAAATAAGAGAATTAATAATAACATCATATTTAAGGGAATTAATTACCATGTTTTTCAAATCAATCGAATCTGTTAAATTTATACATATTTATCACTTTCCATTTCCTTTCACGACTGTTAGTATCAAGCAATACATGGTGGGAAATGGATCTTTTGGAAAAATTCCGAGTTTTATCAAAAAAATTTATCATGAAACTCATGAAAAAAATAACTTAACGTTAGTAAATATTGTATATTATTAGATTTATATTAGTAGATCCTCAACATTTCGTGTGAAAAACTTTTTAAAAAATTATAGAAGAGTGAAATATAAAAGTTAAATTAACAATATGAAAACCCTGTACAGAGGGATTTCTGTAAAGGGAAAGGATCAGCATAGATTGGGCGCTCTTGGCTGTTTCTGTATAGTTTCCAACCAAGGTTCTCCTTTAGTTAACAATCAATTTTCTTCATTCATTATATTTAATCATTTTTTATATTAGTTTACGATGTGAAATAGTTATATATTTAAAATAAAAAAATTAGAGGTATTTTAGAGGAAGAAATTTTGAAAATTAAGCTTTTAAATCCTATCAGAGAACATCAACGAGAATAAGACTTACGTTATATTAAAAACCACTTAATTTTACACTGGAATAATGAATTTAATCAAAATCTTTAGAGCCGTTTTCAAGAAAATTCTAAAAACGATGATATAAAATGCCACTTCCGGTAAGCCGATTTTGATGAAAAATTGGTGTAACATATAGCTGTGTTCTGGCAGGACATAATCAATGTTAAAACTGGTTTGATTTTGACTTGTTAGGATTGACATTAATTTAAATCTAATTGGTAACTGGTAGATTATATGTCATTCCTGTCCTAGTGAAGAGTACTTAGGGGTATTAAGTCTAATAAATGTCCATAACAAAACAGCCTATGGCGGTCCTATGAAATAATAAAAAAAAATTATAATAAAAACCTGTGTATACTACCAACTACAATCCATGAATGGTATTTAATTGATAAAGACGCAGTTTCTTGGCTGACAGGGTTATGCTAGGAGGAGATTTGTCAAAGATCACGCTCATCCTCCTGCTGATTTGAGTATTTTTTTTCCCTAATCCATTGAAGGTTCAGGTATTCACTTTGTAGAGGCTGGTTATGATCCAGGACTCTAATATGGAGAAATGGAAATCAGACTGAGTTACCCCAATTCCCAAGTAGATATACACAAGCATAGGCACAGAAAGCAACTATGGTTCTCTTCCTTCAAACAGGCTATAGTGGCAGAGTATATTAAAGCATTGCATGCTTTATCACTCTTGATTCTAGCAACGTTGGTTGAAATTTGTTTTGTAGTGGACCCACAGAATGAATCTCAACCTTTCCATTCAAGTTTGGTTGTACCTCAAGAACAAGACCCCCCACTAAACGCCAGAAATGGCTAGGTAAGTGATAAACATAAAAAAAAAAAAAGTTTCCAATTCTATTTATCTATAAAAAAATCATGTGTTGGTTTTACACTAGGATATGAAACTTCACCACTCAGTACATTTTTTAAAGGAGGCAATTTAGAAATAAAATTATATGCTTTTTTTGCTTCCTCTCACTGAACCTTCGTATTCTTGAGCAAATTAAAAAAAAAAAAAAAAATACATATCTCTTGAGAATTGAAAATTTTCACTTATGTTAAACATTCTAGACACCAAGGAACAAATTTCGTTCCATGTCTGTAGGTAAATTCATATGACGGATATATATCCTAAAACCGTTAATCTGATTTTCATGAAGTTTTCAAAGGTTGTGAGGGTACGTATGTAGGTGGCAATTTTATCAAATTTTATCCACTACTTTAAAAAAATGCATCCACAACTGATGCTCAAATTTATTTATATATATACCTAAATTTCAAAAAATAGGTGGTTCAATCTGACCCAAAGTTTGAGGAAATTCAAGGAATAGTGTACAAATGGTCTAGTATTGATGAAATATGTTGATGAATATGATTTAATCAAATTCCATCAAACAATTAAAAAATAATATACAAAATTAAAATTGATTTACCTAATTGTTAAGAATATAATGACTGTGAAACGTGGTAGGCAGTGAACGGAAAGGGAGGTTATTTATACTATAGTTGTAAACAGTTACATAATTTGGAGGACATGAAAGCTAATGCTGTTAATTTGATATTTTTTGAGATTGTGAGAGGGTTAATACCTACATGGTTTAGAACAACTTTATCTAATTATGTCTACTTTTTTCGCTTAGATGTGCACTTCTCCTAGACAATACTATACTTCAAAACCAGCTTTTAAACCACTTCAATATAACCATTATAATCCACCACCAGCTCCTGTGGATTTTATTCTCAAATGAAAAATCAAAGACCATGAAATATAATCGTGTAACAATAGAAATGGCAAGGAAGCTATATTCGTCCTGCTTGTAAGACCTTTTTCTAATATTTATTATTTTATTGTCTTTTTCTTATGTTCGATTTTGAAAAACCATTTGTTGTTGTTTTCAAAATACTGGGAATGATCAAAATAAATTGTAATAACACAGTCGAGGAAAAGGGGGAGTCATTAAGAGAACTTCATAAATTAACTATAATTATTTTGAAAAAAGAAAACACAAAAACATTGAAGTAATTCTTATAATGTTAATAACTATTTGTTTTGCTTTATCCCTTACCGATAATTTTATTCCATTGATCAATGTGATCTGTGCCTGGGAAGAGAACTCCTCCTCTTATCATCTCTCCCATAATGCAACCTACTGACCAGATATCGACGTTTTCTTTGTATCCCATTCCCAAGATAACCTTAAAGAAACAAAAGATTTTAATAAAATCATGAATAAATATCAATTATGTGAAGAATAATAACACAACAAACAAAAAATAAATGAAAATTATTGAATTGAGAATATAATAAAAAATAGTGTTGATCCACTGAGAGAAGTTTAAGTTGATATAAAGTTCAATTAGGGAATTTAATCCTCTCCGGCTTTCAAACCAATGTCCTGATGATGACCCACATGTTTGGGTCATAATTTTATATAATATAATGCTATATAACACATTAAAGAAATTTTTTACTGTAAATCCTGACAATTCGTTTTCATCTTATGTCTAAAATAAATCGTCATATAAATTCTGATGCATAACTGAATTCTCGTAACATTTGATAAACTCGTAACTTCATAAATTTATTCATTTAGTTTCTTTCTTGCAACTCATAGTATTTTTTTAACTGAAAAACATCTTTAAATGCATACTTATCAAATGTTTGGTTAGTGCCTGATTGGGCTAAAACAATTTCGTCCAGTTATTTAAGCCAGTCATTTCAGTAAAAAATTTATTAAGGTTGTGTTAGAATTTGTGTGATGAAATTATAATATAAAAATGGGTTCAAGTTACATTAATATTACACAAAATGAAATGTTTACCTCTGGAGCCCTATAGTATCTCGTGACTACATAAGGCGTCATCATAAACGTTGTACCAGCTGTCCTAGCCAAACCAAAGTCGAGGATTTTCAAAGTGCAATCTGATTTCACAACTATATTACTTGGCTTAAGGTCCTACAAATAGAAATAAATTCATTACAATAAGCTCATTCAATGTAAAGGAAATATGACAAAATTCTTTGAAAGTCGATGAATGAATACCTAAAACATAGAGTTTATCAATAAATAATAATAGCAATAACAATAATAAGGGGGAGCTAGGGGAACCCGAAAGTTCGATGCCTGTATTATCAGTTTATGACCTTATTCTTCCATCCACTGGGTGCTGTCCAAACCCGACCCTGCTAGATCAGCCTTAATGGAGGTCGTGATGGCAGAGTGTGTTGGAGTGTTGTCCGTGCTAGCATCCTCGTGCCCAGCGACACTGGTTCGAATCCAGTCTAGGAGGGGTTGACTTTTATTTTGGCGGACCCACAAAATGAAACTCGACCATCTCACTCTGGTTAGAACAAAGATTTTGTTGCACCTCTAGAACAACCCCTTCTCCTTAGAACAAAAGATCAGCCTTAATGTAATCTTCCCACCTTTGAATCTAATTATCCTTGACACAGTACATATTAACTTTTAAATAATTCTTTTGATACTAAGCTCAGCAATTTCACATGCCCATTTTATTCGCCTCAATGTAATCATCTTAATTATATCCACTGGATAATTCTCCAGTTAACTCATCCTTCTTCGGAACCAATAATCTATGCAATACTTTATTTTCAAAAACCTTTAAACGTTGTTCATCCCTTAATGTAAGCGGTTATGTTTCACGTCTATAAAGAACCGCAGGAAGAATAATGGTTTTGTAAATTCTAATTTTTAAGTTTTGCAACAACAGTTGTGAGTTAAGTAGCTTTGCAACTGAAAAATAATGAGCATTTTCCATCTTAATCCTTTAACTGCTAATGACGGCTACAGTCGCACCACTGCTTTTCTTTCTATTTGCTAATGTCGGCTATAGTCACGTCGATCTTGCTATGTTCTACTTGTATTGTAGGGAAGTAAAGCTTCTAACTAGAGGCCACAGATGGCATGGGAATTTATTTTGGAACTTTTCTTATAGAATTCATGAACTGTTACGGGTTACTACCTCCTACGGCCTTTCTCAGGCTGACTCGACCATTTTCATTCTTTGTTTTGCGTTCTATGTGAAACAATCTTGTGTTCCACAACTCTGTTTTTTTATCAATTTCATTTAGTTTAGTTAGTTACGTGGCCATATAGATAAATTATTTTGTAGTACGGAGTTAGTAATTTTTTTTTGTTTTTTGTTTCCTTATTTTTTAAAAATGTAGAAATAGTAGTTTACTGCTTCAGAAGCTCCGAACTTATTATTACCTAAAGTGGTGAATTCTTGCCATCAGATTCTGAAGGAAGTGAGAGTGAAAGAACAGAGAAAGACATTTCGATTCCTTCAACTTCATCACTTCCTTATATTTTAACAGTTGCGTCAACATCAATTATCACAAAAAAAAGCAAATTTTAACTCCGTGTCGGTCCACAGCCTAAATCTAAAAGGAGGATGGAAAAAATAAAATAAGGTAGTAGTAAGAGCCGGAAATGAAGGGGGGAAAGCAGGTAAAAAACATGTAGCACAGGGCGGTTGTCGAGCCGCCGGCTTATTCAGCACTGTGGTAGATATAAAGCTCGTCACTCACAGCAGCGAAAAGTTTAAATGTAGCCTTAACTGGCTGTTCAATTTTGTTTTTTCTTGTCATCATAGACCATAAATAAATTAACTTCTCTGTGTGTTCAAACGTATTTCCTTCAATATCTATAAAACCGAAATTGTCAACATTTTTGCAGCTAACCATATATTATATAACTGCTAATGAAATATGATTAATAAATAATAAAACGGTTATTTTATAGAAAAAAAGTCTTTGTTATCCAAGCTATGTTAAATCAAGTAATGTCTGGAAGCATAAAACCTGCTTATTTAATTTGTATTTATAAGAAAAAAAAAAAGAAAGGCAGAGTTTGACCATGAAACCTGAAGCTACAGATGAATACATTAACGTATTCCTAACGTATACAGCATTTTTACTTTTACTTAAATTTTTCATGTACACATTTCACACCAAACATATCGGCAATCATCATTCTCTGATGATGGCCCACATGTTTGGGTTAAACGTAGGGGATAAAGCAATCCAAAAAAATGACTAAGCTCTAATTATGTATCACCCAACGTTTATTTAAACTAACGTATTACGTTGTGTATAAAACTTATAAGAGACATTAACCACTTGAAATTAAATATTACCCTGTGAATAATCCCTGCAGAGTGGAGATGCTTTATACCACAGAGCATCTGGTACAGGAGGTAGGACATCCTCTCGTGATCAAGGTCCATCTGGATGACTTGGCATAAGTTAGCGTCCATTAGCTCCATCACAAGATAAACGTCCTGAAATTCTTCTAATGACTTCTGCGGTGTGAATGCATTTAGCAGCCCTATAATCTATAAAACAACATAGCATTTAAAAATAAGTCAAATAATTATATCCACACATTTAAAATACATTGATGGCTTTTTATACTGTTCAAATTTCAGAGTAAACTCAATGAGAGATTGGTTTAATCTTAAACAATTTACACTATAATAAAGATTTATACATTAAAACGATAACTCAATTTAATGGCAGAGATTATAATCATATTACTTTTCATATCTATTATTATACTATTATCCATATTTTTAAACTTAGCAATATAAGATTGAAATAATTTATATAAACATTAAACATAAGAAAATAACATTATGTCATCCAAGAAAAAAAAAAAAAGAAATACAAATATTATAATTATTATTGATTATATACGAATTCATTATTTTTTCCATACAAAAAAACTACTTACATTTTTATGATTAACTAGTTTCATTAATTTAAACTCTCTGTAAGCTCTCTTGGCATGAGTGACATTTTGAAAAGGTCTTGAGAGTTTCTTAATGGCAACATTTTGCTGCTTAACTGTGTCAAAAGCAGCGCTAAAACAAATATAAAATTATAATTGTAAAAATGTGAAGCAGAGAAAATGATAATCCATAAAAATGTTGAAAAACTACATAATTTTAAACTGAATTTACATGAAAATATAAACATAAAACAATTCAGAATAAGATAATAACCTTTGTGGTTTTGAGAAATATAACAAAATATATTTGATACACATCATTTACATATTTAAACATCAATAACCAAGCAGCGAAATAAGCACTAATTCTTTCAGGCCGTGGTGCTGCCACTCTAACACAGCAAGATACAAGTCTTCCCATAAAAAAAGAAATAATTCATAGCTGGCAATTTGTATGAAATGAGAGTCTGGCAACCATATTAAAAAAAACAATAAAGCCATCGTCAAAATCAAATCGTTACATCCGCAGCGAAGAGGTTGTCTTAACCAGACTGAGAATAGGCAACACCAATCTTACCCGTTCACATCTCATTAACAAGCAGCCACCACCCTAATGATATACTTACAGACAGCCACATGTTACAAGAATGTCCTTTTTATGAATCGAGTCTAAATAGATCAGAACTTACACCTCCAATAGCAAACATTTTGTGGGATGATGAAGACACAACAAAGTTAATGTTAGGTTTCTTTAAATCAAACGATTTGTTTTAAAAAAATTTAATCAGATTAACAAAATTAATTTGCAGGGGTTGATGACCTTGATGTTTTACGCCTTAAAACCCCAACAAACAAAACCAAGCTTTGTATATTAAACAGAATTCCATGTTGACTCAAACATGAATACATAACTACATTTATAAATTGATGAACAAATTAAACAAAAATAGAGTAAATCTTTTAAGAAAACATAATAAATACTCATTGAATGAGAAAAATAAATAACATATAATGGAGAATAAATAGTTTCATTACCATACTATGCCCTGAGCGCCGGAACCAATGGGTTTCAGGTTCTGATACCTCTTGAGGATGGTGAACTTGGTGTCCCCGACCTCCACTGTGTAGAACATTGAGGAGAGCCGTGAACTCATTTTACCGGTGAGGAAAGGCATTCGCACCTGATAATATCAAAGTCATTAAACAACATGTCATAACTAACATATTTAATTAACGAATATAAAAAATTGCATTTTTGGAAGTAATTAATTTACCATATTTGTTAAAAATAAACATCAATTCATACATGCAGGCCTTGAAGTGATATCATTATAGTGGAGCACACGTAAAGGGAATGTGGATACATCATAAGGAGGTACTAAACAATAAAATTGAAAATATTAGTTTATTTTGCTTTGTTTTAAATAATAAATAATGAACAACTGCGTAAGACTTGTGATCGGGGCCCCAAGATACTCCCATGTTTCTCACCACTACACTCAGTAAAAGTGGCTTTTCCCCTCCTTCCGAAGACAATATTTCCTAGGTACGTTCCTCTACCAAATCATCAACAACCGTCGTCTTTCTTATGCCTACAACCTTCTCCAGTTCAAATCCTCAGTCTATTCCCTGTCCACAAGATCCCTGTCCACCTTCTAACCTTTACATGCCTTCTCACAGATCTGCCTCGTTCCAAAATTCCTTTATTGTTCGCTCTGTCAATTTCTGGAATTCCCTCCGTATCAAAATTCGACATTCCCCATCCATATCCACATTCAAAACCCTCCTATTCCAATTCCTATCCCAAAAACAGTCAGATAGTTGCTCTAATTTTAATAGAGAATTTGATAAATTTTTATTTTTAAATTCTTTATTATTTTCTTAAAAGTGTATACTAGTCTATCAGTGCAAATAGCTTTAGTGTCTTGTCATAGTATTAATTGTTTTGTATATAGTTTCGTTTGTTTTGTTTATAGAATGTTTACCTTATATATTTTTTACATTATTTCTTTTTTTCGATTGATTTTATTTTGGCCAGATGTGATCTTTTAATTTTGTTCTATTTTGTTATTCTCAAGGGACTGTGTCCTAGAATAAAATTATTTTTCTATCTATCTATCTATCTAAATAGGTATTTTATGAGTTTTATGATTTACGATTAAATTAGAAAAAGAGTATGCGAATGTATGAAACAGGAAACCTCGGGCTATGGTTCCTACCATATCTCCCTACATGCAGTCATGAAATTTGACTGGGACCACCAGTTAATCTAGCAACACCACTCATAATATGAAATAAATAAATTCTAATTGTTCTGGCATGTCTCTTATTTACAGTAAGGAAACATTGTGGGTTTGCTAAACAGCAATTTACAATAAAGATTGAATTTTTTCAAAAGTTATTGATGGGTTTATATATTTAATATAAAGGGTTTCCCAAAATTAACGCAAGATTTAAATTAAATACAAAACACAGTTCTTTCTTCTTTTGTTTCCTTTTTCTTTGTCAATTTAATAGCTGACAGTTAAGGGTTAATAAAAACGGAGCATTATACGAGCGAACAATGTGTTTTCATTGTTGAAAAATATTTTTAAAATAATGAAAGTCTTGCGACCACAGTTCGACAATTTTGTACAAAATAAGGTCGGAATAGTGATTAAACTTCATCAACTGTGAAGAGAGTGGTTGAGAAAGCAGACTGGACCAATTGGTGATGTTAAAAATTCAGAGATGTTGACCAATATTTTAAAAATAATGAAAGTCTTGCGGCCACTTGCCTTGCTTCGATATTGACACTTTAGCAGCTTGATTCAGTCTGCTTGACTTTTATCAACCACTCTCTGCAAAATTGATAAAGTTAAATCACTATTCCGACCATATTTTGTACAAAATTTTTGAACTGAGGCTGCAAGACTTTCATTATTTTAAAAATATTTTTCAACAATGAAAACACATTGTTCGCTCCTATAACGCTCCATTTTTACTAACCCTAAACTATCAGCTGTTAAATTTACAAAGAAAAAGGAAATAAAAGAAGAAAGAACTGTGTATTGTACTTAATTTAAATCTTGCGTTAATTTTTAGACACCGTATATTTAGCTTTCATTAAAAACATTGATATACAACGGTAAATGAATTTGTCTTTTTAAGATTATGACTATAACTTTAAGCATAATAGATGAAGTAAATAATGTTCAGCATATTCTAAAATAGTACTGGTACCTGTGGCTTCAGGATGAAACAAGTGGTAACTGAGGAGCTGTTTAGCACACAGTAGTAGGTTAATTATAAATTAATTTTCTTTGAGATTTAGCGAAACACTTTCAATTATTTACTTCATTATTAGTAAAACTGCTATAAGGGTTGTGATGAGATTTTCAATTAATAAGCACAGACATATAAGATGAATAATCTTGCTAACTAAAAATATGAGATAACTTATCAAATCTTATGATTCAAGTTACTCATCATAATTTCTACTGTAATATGATATTTCATCACAAAATAATCTGTTGCTAATATTCATAGCCAGATAAAGCAACATCAATCTTAATAAAAATAGATAAATTTGATTGTTTAATGAAATGAATAAAAACCGTAATTCTGAATATACAAAGTAATTTTATTAATAAAAGTTTCCTTACGATAATGTAATGACAATTCTTTTATTTTCACAGTTTCAGTATTACAGTTTATTGTGAAAATCAACTTCCTACGTCCACTGAAGAGAAATAGAGATTTAAAAATGGTCTGAAGAATTAATATAATAATTCTATAAACTGTATAGTTGTATCAATTATAATAATTTTAAACTGTAATTATTTACAGTTATTTATTCATCTTCTGGACACAGGAGGCAACAGATATAGAGTCCTTAACAAGTTTACTTATTTTTCTATTAACCAGAACTTTAATTGGCAGTAAATATAAACAAGTTCAATAGTAATAATTCATTCGATTGGATATTGAGACGTAAAATTGATTAGAGACGCTAATTGTTAACATTATTACAGTTTCACTTCGGATTTAAAATAAATTGTAGGAGATAGTGAACTAACATGACTATTAAATATTAAATCCACAAATGCACTATGATGTAGTTAAGTTTCTAAATCTATCCTAGATAATCTTCAGAAGTTTATAAAAAGGTGTTGGAGCTAGGTGTTGGAAAATAAATCTAATTTAACAGATAATTAGTTTGATAATTATTATGCTTTGTAAATATTCATTGACTTTACCTCAATTTCTCATTTTATTTATAGCCCCAACGATGGTTATGGTAGTAGTTGATGGGAGTTATTTTGAGCAGACAATTATGTGTTGATCTTGAGTTACGAGTTTCTCTCTAAAGCCTATCTTTATAAGAATTTCCATTAAAAATGAAAATACAGAATAGTTCAATAAATTGGTCTGGAATTAGAAGGTTGACTGGACAAGAAAATTATAACAACGGGCAGCATGGAAATACTTTTAACGGCTGAAGATATGGTCGTTGTGGTAACAGAGAATCATAGAAAAAAAGGATTCTAAGGCAAAATCTAAAATATGCCTCATGATTGATGAATCATTATACCCTTATTGTACAACCATGTAAGTCAGTCAAGGAAGTTTGGGAAAAATTTAAAAGCACCTATGATGATAAAGAAACTGTCGTTACACAGAAAATTGTTTTGGGTCCAGTTGGAAAATTTCAGAAAGATTACATAAACAAAATCATTTTAATTTTCCAAAAAGTACAGCAATCGATGCTGATTTAGAGGATGAATTTATTGGAGGGCTGATACTCAGTGGTTTCAACAAGGACTTCGAGCCTATGATATTGCGGCTAGAAAGTAGATAAAACAACCTATCTGACCTAAAGCATAATAAATGAATTTTAAAAATATATCTTGAATTTAAAGCAAATATATAAAAAACATATTGTTCTTACCATCAACTGCCCATCATCAGATGAGTGTGTAACGGGAAGGGAAGAGATCGTACCACCTGACCAGCATCACCTGGAAAATTAAAAGAAAAATTAAATTAAATAAAACAAGAAAAAGTAGTTTTACAAGACTAATGGTAAACAAATGTATAAATTAACTAAGGTGTGTCCTTGGTCTCTGAACATACATGCAAACAAACTAATACAAACAACATGACGAGCTGCCATTATTTAAAAATAGTTCTATTTTTAACAGTGATGGTTAAATCCAGATAATTGTCAATACTCTTCCTATTTTTAATACTAAAAATCTGGTACTAAAAATCACCATTCTTAGAAATTAGAAATTATTTTTTGTCGATTTTGAGCAATTATAACATTTTTTAAGTACACTTTTAATAGTGTTTAAAGTTTACAGCTAACAAATCATTACAATACCTAGAGAGTAGAAGGTACATATCTATATTCAACCAATAAATGATTATGGATTGTACGCCTATTAGTTATTAAACTGTTATTTTCTATTGTGAAGTTTACTAAAAAGAAATTACGAGATTTTCATTGAATACCATAGATAGATCAAAAGTTGGGACACTAATTTTAAATGGATAATGTTTGTATTTCACAAAGGGAAAATACACCAAATTATTCAGTAATATAATTTTCTAAAAGGTTACATGACAATTAAACGGACGTTGATACCTAATTATTTAAATAAAATATCAGATCTAGAGTTATTAAACTATAACCTTCTAATTCCAGGCCAATTTATTGAACTATCCTGTATTTTCATTTTTAATGGAAATTCTTATAAAGATAGGCTTTAGAGGGAAACTCGTAACTCAAGATCAACACATAATTGTCTACTCAAAATAACTCTCATCAACTACTTCCATAACCATCGTTGGGGCTATAAATGAATGAGAAATTGAGGTAAAGTCAATGAATATTTACAAAGCATAATAATAAGCATAAATGTATTTAAGATTATAAATATATATTTACTTTTTATAAATACTTATTTCCTTTATACACCCATTAAATATTGTTATATTTCACTTCTTCTTTCACATAAGTACTATGAAATAGTTTTTTTAACAAAGCCATTGTCTTGATTAGGTGCATACTAAATACTTTTTTTTGTCTAACTGAAAAAAGTTTAAATTTAGCTAGTAAACTTCATGTAATTTCCGTATATTATATATACAGGTATATTACATATACAGGTAAGTGAAAGTAAAAATATTTTTAATACGTCAAGCGAATAAATAGTTGAGAAGTGGTATTAACACCTTTATCCATTCTTCCTATATTGTTTTGATATTTTAAGGAAGAAAAACAACATATTAATAACAGGCGAGAAAATAATAAACAATAGGTACAAATTAAATTAGATGAAATTGATACTAGACGATTTGTTCATTACTCCCTAGACATTCCTCCAACTTCAGGCCAAATCGAGGAGTCCTTTTTGAAATAATACAAAGAGAAATACGTTTGTGCATGCTGAAGCGAAAGTAGACGATGGAATATAATGAAATTACTACTGGATCATTTTTACACTAATCCTAAATTTTTTTTATTAAATTTGGACCCTATTATTTTTGAAATACAGGTATGTGAAAAATAAGTTTATGTTTAAGTTAAGTTATGGAATTTGATAAAATTGATATAGGATCATCTAGAGAAAAAAAAGGGTGCCCATTCAAACAAGATCGATGGTACTTGTCCCCCTCAAAAGAAATTTTATTGCACTCCTTTTCTTTAATACAGTTCAAGTGAAAGTAAAACCAGAAAAAATGTAGCGATATACAATTACACTTGCTGACTAAATCTGTTCCATGTTTTTCTCCTTGTTTATTGATTGTAAGTTTGTTCCATAATAGCAACATCATAAAATATGGCTCCTTTCGGAAATTGATAGTCCCGTTAAAATATCAAAAAATTTCTAAAGTTGGACCAAATTAGAGGTGCTGTTTTTGAAATATAGATATGTCGAGGAAATAAGTTAACGCATATCTAAGATAAAATGAACAATGGGATTTGATAAAATTGATATAGGACTTTCTTGAGAGAAAAAAAAGGTGTGTCAATTCTCAATAAGGGAGATGGCTATTTCCCCCTCCAATTACAATCAATAATTATACTTGCTGTGATATGTTCCAAATTTTTTTCCTTGGATGATAGTTTCTCCCCTAATTGGAACATCACACAAATATGGTTCCTTCCGTAAATTCAAAATTACAAAAATTCCACCTCACCTCAAAAATTCAAAAATCCGTAAAAATGTGCACTACTCAAAAATTTTAATTACTCAAAGTTATCGAAATCGAATTCATGGCAATCGGAGTTACAAAACCACATTTGTACCTTGAAATCGAATTTGAATTTTCGATGCTCTTAACATGTATTTTCGATTCTGAAGACGAAACCTCCCATCTGTAGTGAGGAAATAAAAAAAATCGTTGTTTACATTACATTATTTATTTAAAATATTTATTATCAGATTTGCAAAGTACGTTAACACCAGCCGATAATAGATAACAGGTTAAGTTAAAAAAAAAAGAAGTATAATAATTATCGATAATCGGATCGGATTTTTTCTCAAGAAATATTAACATGTAATTTGTAGATAAAGGCACAATGAACGACCAAAACACACAAAAAAAAAAAAAAAAAATGAAAACTGAACTGAGGATAAATGTGTATCATAAAAGTATACATAGCAATAAAGGGAAATATGGGCACTCTGAAAGATGAATACGAGCTATCTTTTAAAGGCGGACTAATGAACCTATTGTGTAGGTAAGTAAGTGTTCCAAATAACCATTTGTATTTACAAGTTCCAGCTGTAGATCGTCCATAATTTTATTTTTTTAGTTTCCAGCCCGTAGGCCAGTTCATGAAACTAAATTTTCCCTCTCCTCCTCCTCAGGGGGTATAAGAACAAAATAAATTAGAAAATATTAAGTATTCACGAATATATAAATATCTTTGTATATAATATCGGAGGATAATGAAAAAAATACAGCAGTTTCATCTAAATTATTATAGTTGTGGGCAAACTATAGTCAACAATAATAAAGCAGTCTCATTTATAAATAATTTTTCAACTATATAAAGTAACAATCTTGTAACAAACCTCCAATTCATGGCCCAAAAATCCTACAAATCGTCCTACCAACCTATAAATTAAAAATTAGGAGAAACATATAAATTTAAAAAAAAAAAAACGGGTTATGTTTCATACAATATTGCTATGTCATAGAAAACATAATAATAAAAAAAAACTGCTTTAGACCACACGACAGAACTAAAAGCATCAACAAGGCGAGATTAATAATATGAAATATTAATTATAAACAATAGCTCTTATAAAGGGAATGAAATGCTGAACACTTCCCTCGCTTGCAATATGCTGGTCCAATTTATAGTTTCTGAGATATTTTAATCCATAGCATACCCACATTTTTACGTCGTGTCCCACAGTTTTACTATTTTTTAGTAGAATAAGTGCTCAGTTTTACTTTTTTTAAAAAAAACTAGTTAAGCAGACATCAAAACAACAACAATGGACTAACACCACAGTGAGTAGTGTTGTTATTTACTGTGTACTATTACAGACAGTGAATTTAGTGATTTAGCGTCTATAGGCTTAATCTCTATAGCCATAACAGCTGACGGCTCCCCTCTCCAGTTGTGGCCCTGCCACGTAACTGGCTGGTTCTCAGCCGGTGGTTCATCCATTGTAATAACACGCAGACGTAGTTTTATTTATTTATTTATTTTTTTTCCCTTTCTTTTTTTTTTTTTATATGCGATATTATCACCAAGTAATGTCAACTAAGAGGTCCCATTCAGTTGGCTCTACCCCACGTAATTCACCGCCTAAACAGAAAACACGTCGTAGTAAGCGATTAACACCCCCCGGAACTCCTCCAGCGAACACTCAAGAATCTGTGTCTCAACCACTGCCAAGTACGTCTTCACAAGAAATGGAATCTCCATTTTTTACACCTAATCCATACCAGGTGCTTGAAAATGACAGGGAAGAAATGGAAGATGCACCTATACCTCGAGAACCACGCCCACCTCCTATCTTTGTCAAAAATTTGAGAAATTTCCAGTTGTTGTGTACTCAACTTAATAAAATCTGCCCAGGTAGCTAGCTATACATGCCTAAACAGAATAAACGATACAAAAATAATACCGGCCACACCTGAAGCGTACCGAAAAATCGTAAAATATTTAACAGACACAAATGCGGACTTTCACACATACCAGTTGAAACAGGAAAGAGCACTACGAGTTGTAATAAGAAATTTACACTCCTCAACCCCAATAGAAGTGATTAAAGAAGAGTTAACGGCGTTAGGGTTCAAAATACGTCAGATAACCAATGTTTTAAAAGAAAATAAAGAACAACCAGGTGTAAAGAATAAAATCCCATTGCCCTTATTTTTCGTCGATCTAGAGCCATCGCCTGGGATCGAAAAAATATACGATGTGAATAGAATTTTCTACACCAGCGTAAAGGTCGAAAAACCGTACCCAAAAAGAGAGTTCATCCAGTGCCATAATTGCCAAGCATATGGCCACACCAAGTCTTATTGCCACCACTTACCACGCTGCGTGAAATGTGGTAAAACACACAAGTCTGGCGAGTGTAATAAACCAATTACAGAACCAGCAGTCTGTGCCCTATGCCTGGAAGACCATCCAGCCAACTACAAAGGCTGCCAAATTTATAAAAATCTTAAAGCGAGATATATGAAACCCAGAGACCCTGATGATACACCTAAACCAAGAAGAGGACCCGCTAAAATTGTGAACTCTAAGGTTTCTTTTGCCAAGCTACTTGGGGGTAGAGACCCGACTAATGTATGTGAGGCCCTGCCGCAAGAACAAACTCAACCCCAATCTCAATATCCTATCCCACCTAATGTACCTAATCAACAACAACCTCACCAACATCAAATCCAATATGTTCCTCCACCGCCTAATGCTACAGATCTAACCAGCTTATTGATATCCTATCTTTCAGAATTTAAATCCCTTGTTACCCCACTGATA